GTTGAGTTGAGTTAGGTTAGTATATTTAGTCAGCCAAAGCTAAATGTGCCCTTGGATTACCTATTTAGGCAAATTTTGAAAGCCAATCCAAATCCATGCATAATACTACTCCTCTTACAGACAATCTAAATATAAACACAATTCCCTTGAACTTTAGCACTTTCGCAAGTAATCTTCCTAAACAAGTTGCCCTCCCGCCGCTAGGTCATGATTATGACCAGGTTGCTAATATCATTCACCCGGAGATTCTTAAGTACCACTACGAGGTGCTTCATCGCGGATATGTGGATCGGTACAATGCGGCTGCAGCAAACTTTACGGACCAGTCGATTGAGAACTTTCTCAGTGGATCGGGTATTACGGATCCGGGGCGAAATAAACAGTTCTTGTTTGGTGGCTACATCAACCATGCTCTCTACTGGCGCTCGTTCTCTCACGATGCAGCTAACTATCAGATGTCTCAAAATCTGGCTGCTCTATTCAACCAGGCTTTTAAGAGCCGAGAAAGCTTCAAAGAGGAAGCAACTAAGGCCATGAATCAGATCCATGGCTCGGGCTGGCTTTGGGTCATGTACTCCCCTCAGGCAGACCGGGTTTATCTTAACATCAGCAGTGAGCACTGGTTCCCTGTTCAGGACGTTCCCTTGCTTGCTGTGGACGTCTGGGAGCACGCGTATCTCTGGTACAGCGAGAAAGGCTGCAAAGTCCAGTACATCAGCAAGATTCTGGATGCACTCAACTGGAATTATGCCAGTGAGCGGCTGGATCTAGCCTTGGCAGCCAAGGAACAGGATAAGAAACAAAGCGACCTTCCGGCGTCGGATCCGGGCATTCCCGCTAATGTCTTATTGAAGGGCTGCCACACAAGTTAGTATTCAGTTATGTTGAGTTATGTTATGTTGGGTTGAGTTGTGTTATGCTAATTCAACTCAATTGGTGGATGCCAGATCAATATTATCTAAATCCTAACCCAATATTATCCAAATGCCAACCAAATACCAACCAAATAGTATCTAAAAACCAGTTTCACGTCCAACCAATAAAATGACAATGCTAGATAAAAATCATCCAGTTGGCCCAATACTATCCCGGAATCACTATAATCCAGTAGTACCGCAATCAAATGAGATTAGGCCAACCCGTTTGATCAATCATGCCCCCAAAGTATATATACTACCCTAAACTTGAATGTATGAAGACCCTCTATCTATGCGCCCTGCTACTACTAGCTATTCTATCGGCCCATGGAGTGGCTGATGTAGCCGAGGACCCAGAAATAACAGAGAAGAACGAGGAGGAAGAGGCCGCCCGTCAACCAAATCTCGACCATGACGAACTCCCCGAGGCCACTAAACCGCAAGAAGAGTCGTATGAAATTCCATTAAACTTTAGTGAGTTGGTGAACAACCTGCCATCCAAAGTCTCACTTCCTACTCTAGACTACAGCTATGAGGATGTCACCGCCATAATTCCAACCGTTGTCTTGAAGATGCATTATGAAACCACCCATCGCAAATACGTTGATTTATACAATGACATGGATCAAACTTCGCACGTAATCCCCAATCTTCTTGATGGAGCCGCTTTAGAAAACCCAGAGAAGAAGATGCAGTTTATTTTTGGAGGCTTCCTAAACCACGCACTATATTGGAAGTCTTTTTCCCCCAATACCGAAGATTATGAAATCACTGGCGACCTCAAAAAAGTGTTTGATAGTTCTTTTAGCGATCAATCCGAGTTCCTGAGCCAGGCCAAGGCCAAAATGGGCGAAATACAAGGCTCGGGGTGGCTATGGGTTATGTACTCGCCGGCATCAAACAGCATTTACCTTGATGTTAGTTGCGGGCATTGGTTCCCCATTCAAGATGTTCCTCTACTTTGTGTTGATGTTTGGGAGCATGCCTATTTAGTCAATGGAGAAGCTAGTAGCAAGACTGACTACACCAACGCCATTCTGAATGCACTCAACTGGAAATATGCTAACGAACGATTCACTGCCATCCAAGAAAAGGAGAAGGAGCGAGAAGCATTGGTAAGCAAAAAGCCCGGCATTCCCAAATATGTACTACTATCCGGCGATCCTCATGGTGTTGGCGCCTCTCCCGCGACAGCTAAAAGTGAGCCCGAAGAGTCTGAAGAAAAGGCTGCCGGGCCTCCACCTAGTGTTCCTGCCCCAACCAAGGAGACAGCAGGCCATCCTATTTTCCACCACCCAGAGCCAAAAGTCCATGGCTGCTCTGACTCTTCGTCGTCCCAATCACGATCTTCTCGCCGTAGCTGCAGCCGAAGGAGAAGTCGACGAAGAAAAGCATCCTGTCGAGGCAATTCGCGTTCATCATGTCGTCGATAGAACTAGCATTGGCTCTGTAGTACCAGACACTACAAATAAATTGGATTGGTTAGTATTGGGTTGGTAGTAAATCAATATGTTTGTTTGTTTACATTTATAGAAATCTTGCCATATTCGGCCAAATTGTTCATTTAGATATTGTTTGTTTACATCAGTTGAATAATTTCTATAACGGGCATGATTATATTGCATCATAATTATAAATAGACAACGAAAACTAGACAGCATCTTATGATTCGTTCAACATTCATATGCAAGTTTACAATATATCTAGCACTTTTATCTAGCGCGGTTAGTGATCCACTCGTGGTTCATTCAAGGACTTTAAATACCGCCCCCAATGCAGTACAAAAAGCCTCACCTTTGCTAATCACACATTCCGATAACTTCTCAAAATCCACTACGGACTATTACACCCCACCCGCCAGCTTACTCAAACTGACACTCTCTAAAGTCCAGTATATCATTCCCTCTACGACCAACAAAATCTACTCATATCTTCAAAAGCATTTCAAAAACCCACAATTATGCCTCTATCTCTACCGAAACCCCGTAGTAGTTCAGTTCCTAGCCGCCAAGCCAGGCCTTTCCTCACCTACTCCAGACCATTTCTTTTCACCTCAACTAGCAACCCCGCTAGTAACCACCATCATTCCTCCCCATCCATTCAATCCACCACATCCATTCACCATGGCTACTCACTGGGCCACTAGCCAAAACAAGCAACAACGAATGTTTCTCGAGCATTGGCAAAAGCAAATGGTTGCCTATTGCGATGTCTTAGCCGACATTAGCAGCATGGCCGACATAGCGTTTGGTTTGAATCGAGCCCTGAGCAATAGTCGTAGAACTACCGCTGGTATCCAGGCCAAGAAGCTAGCTGCCACCAACGAAATTTTCGAGCAGTTCAAGATTGCAAAGGCCCAGACCGGGCTTATCGTGCAGTTAAGTTCTTTGGTTGAAGTAGCCAATAACCAGCCAGACTCTATTGATACTAACTCAACTCCGGCATATCAATGTCTTAGCTTGAAAACTTTCAGTAATCAATGGACTCATAAGACAATCGAGCAAATCAACAATATTCTAGCCCAAACTAAAACCGAGAAAGATAGAACCATCCAAAGAATTTCCAAAATACTAACCCAAATACTAGTCCAGCTACAAATTTGGATGCACAACAAGTCAGATCTAATCTTGATGCAAGGAAAGACTATAGCCCAGCTAAAAAGGGATGTCAAATCTAATCAATCTAAAATCATGCAATGTGAATCAATATACTTAACCATCAAGAACGAGTGTGATGAACAAGCAGCGGCTCTTACGCTGGCTAATAATAACTTGACTGGTACCCAAAGCAAGCTTAATGAAGCGAAGCAAGCCCTAGACGATCTTAATAGCCAACTGCTGGCTTCTCGGAGCGAACGCGATGCCTCTGCCAAACAAGTAACCGATCTACAGACGCAAAAAGGAGAAGAGATAAAGGAGCTTGAGGCGAAGTTGAAAGTGAAAGGAGAAGAGATAGCGAGCAATGAAAAGGAGATAAAGAAGCTTGAGGCGGAGTTGAAAGTGAAAAGAGAAGAGATAGCGAGCAATGAAAAAGAGATAAATGGGCTTGAGGAGAAGTTGAAAGTGAAAAGAGAAGAGATAAATGAACTTGAGAAGAGTTTTAATGCCGCTAGTCAAGAAAGGTCTCAATTGGAAAACGATCACCAAAATCAGTTAGTGAATGTCACCTCTGCTCTACAGCAAATACTTGGTTCTAATAGCGATGATAACGACGTTGAATCCCTTCTTGTGAAGGTTAATTCAGCTATTGCTCAGAAGAATCAAGAAGCCTCGCGACTCAAATCTGATAATTCCAATTGCAAAGCCCTACTAGCTCAGCTTATTGACGAATTTAGAAGTATTGACAATGCCAACACAGAGATCACCCAGATTGAGAAGCCTCAACTAAGTGACATGACAGAAGGAATCAAAATTCTAGATGGTATTGCCAAGGGTCTAATTGCTGAGATCGCTCAGAATCGAACAGAAAAAGGTCTGTTTGTCCTGCAGGCGCAGCGCATGGTACAGGGTGCACTACATTATTTCCACGATCTAATTCAAACTATTGATCCTTCAATCTCACCTCAGACAAAGAACATAAGTTTGGTACCCAATTCCTCAAGCACTGGTTTTCCTACTGCTACTAGCCAGCCAACATCGACTGCCACTATTGACACGAAAGATTTGTCTGCTGCCTTTGATTCGATTTGTGCTTTACTGGGTTTAGACTCTGCCAATAAGGAAAAAGCTCTCGAAACTTTCCATGCTGTAACCGACGAACTCAATGCGGCCATTAATCTTATTGATCAACAACAAAGTCTCCATATCGAGACAATTAAGATGCTGGGAGGGAACATAGAAAGAGCCACCAAAGTTGGCTTTTATCTGCTAAGCGTAGGTAGTTGCCATATTGTTGATCTTACCCCGATTAAGAATCTGCCGTCTCTAATTACCTATATACAAACCAATCGCCTGAACCCAACCCAAGCTAAGTTTAAAGACCACACTACTCTAAATAGTCTGGTCACAAAACTGAAGCCTCTAGAAAACCTAAGCCAGACTAACAATGGCAACCCTCCATCTCAACTCATCCTAACTCGACCAGAAGTTAACGCTTTTATTGAGGTTCTCTTTGATATGATCTCTGACTCAAAAGAGAAGCTAGCTCACTTAACAAATGAGAAGAATGCTTGGCAAACTACTCAACAAACGAATCAGAAAGAAGTAGAATATTACAAAAATGCATGGAAATCCCAAGAACAGGCATTTACTCAGTTTATTGCTACAGTACTAACCCAATTGGACCATGACAATGAAAATGACTTCACAAAGACACTAAAATCTGGCGATGAGTCCAATCAAGCCCAAATTCACGCTGTGCATTGTTTGCTCGAGAAGTACTGCAATACGCTAACTGATCAACGCAAAGAGCTAGACCATTTGACTAGCGTGAACGCAGATCTAAGCGATAAGCTAAATAAGGCCGCCCAAGATAATCGGAATAACCAGACCACAATACAAAGCTACCTGAAACAAGCCGAGAAACACCAAGAGCAAATCGATCTCTACAAAGAGAAAATCAAGGAACACCAAGAGCAAGCCGAGGAACACCAAAGGCAAATCGATCTCTACAATGGGCAAATCGAGGAACACCAAAGGCAAATCAAGGAACACCAAGAGCAAGCCGAGAAAAACCAAGAGCAAGCCGAGGAACGTCTACAAGAGATAGCCAAGGAACACCAAAGGCAAATCGATCTCTACAATGGGCAAATCGAGGAACACCAAAGGCAAATCGAGGAACACCAAGAGCAAGCCGAGGAACGTCTACAAGAGATAGCCAAGGAACACCAAAGGCAAATCGAGGAACACCAAAGGCAAATCGAGGAACACCAAAGGCAAATCGAGGAACACCAAAGGCAAATCGATCTCTACAAAGGGCAAATCGAGTTCTACAAAGAGCAAGTCGAGGAACGTCTACAAGAGATAGCTACCTTAGAAAATTCAACTTCTGAGTTAGCCCTAACCAATGAACGTCAAAATCTGGCGATAGCCCAGCTAACTGCCGATAATGCTATGATAGATGCACAGAACAAAGCTCTGGAAGATACACTAAGCACGCAAACCAATGTGGATAAGACCGCCCAAGTAGCAATTACGAGTTTTAATTCTTTCGCAACAGACGTCAATAGTCGGCTTGAACAGGGGAATCTCACTAGTAATGATATATCCCGCATCCTCTCCAATCACAGGCAGGTATTTACACCTAACCATAATTTGAATCCTGCGGCTACTCTATTTAGGCAATTGCTCAATCAACAACTCCAATCTTCTGACTCCAATAACGACCTACCCAATATGACCAATAGTTCTTCATCAAACGCTGGCGAACTCACTAAACGCCTCGAAGAATGCGCTGTTAGTTTCCAAAATAATCGACTCCTCAATGCCAAACATCGCCGCATCAACAACTTCAAATGCCCCAGTCCTTCCATCACTTTTAATGTACATGTCCAAGATTTCTTCAATACTAGCCCAATACTAGCCCAATCTAACGATAAATTATTGTCCGATCACCAAGAATTAGCCAAAGACGTTTACAGTGCCTTAAAAGAACTGCGCAATATGGACCCCAGCTTTGTCAATGCGATGAATGTTCTCTGCACTGATGCTTACGCTGAAAAGATATTTGCCGGTGACGACCCTGCAGCTTTACAGGACCCTGAGTTTATTCATCACTACCTACGACTAGTCTATAATATCTTCCAAACTCTAATCTTCTCTAAAGCCATCGCCATCTACGACCTCTGTGAGAAGAGCTACCAAAAATTAGCCTCACTTGAAATCAATAATAGTGGCCTTATCCATACTCAAGCCTCCGCCAAACAAACCTTATCCCATGTCTACCAAATCTCTCAGTACAATCTCCACATCTCCGTCCTCTTCAACTGCCTCCATCGAATTGCCCATCATTGCAAGGAGTTGGAGTCTAGCCATTCAAACCTACTCAACAAGGAGAAACCCATTACCGAGGTCTTTGATCAAACACGTAACTTCGTTTTCGAGCATTCTGCTAATCTACAACAAGTCTATGCCTGGCTCTTTATCTGCCACACACCCAATACTATCGAAGAATAAAGAGGTTACCTTTTTCAAATACGATTAGCCCAACACTATCTAAATACATCTACGTCATCGATTTCCTATCAGATTGGCTAAATAATAACAATTTTATTTACACAATAACCATGAGTGACTTTAAAACATTCTTATTAGTTGTGCAAGATAAAAGTCAATCCATTCAAAATCTCGCCAAAGATGCCCAATCGGCAGAAGACCTTGTTTCTGAGTATATTATTTCATCTGGAGCAAAGGCCCGCCATTTATCTAACCAGTTAGCCCAGCTTTCGGCTGACTTCTTTCACAAAGCCGGTGCTCTTAAGAACGAATTAGAAGCATTCACCCAAAGCAATCCGACTGTCTTTACCGATAGAAAGAAAGCAGTGCATCTCCAAGCTCTATTCAAAAAGCTTTCCCTCCAAATCGAGCTATTCAACCGAACCAAACATCTATTCACTAGTGCAGCTACTAAAAAGGAAAGTATCACTGAAGAGACCCAAAACACACATCTTCTTCAAAGCCACAATACTTTTGTTGATCTATCTCTTCCCCAAGCCCCAACTACTACATCAGCCGCTGCCAATGAAGAACTCGCCAAAAACAAGAACCTACGCCTTCTTTTACTTAGCCTTAGTGATCTTGAATCTCTTAGTATTGAGCTAAACACTATTATTGAATCGTCTGGTGATCCAATCGATCGTATCTCTTTAAAAACGACTGAAATGAAATCCGTATCTCTCAATACCAACCGCACCCTAGAGCAAGGCATTCGTCGCCGAACTCGCCGTATGAAACTCAAGCGAGTCTTTATTCTGCTAGTTATCCTAATTCTTATTCTTCTAGCTATCTTTTTCGGCACCAAACTCCTTGAATTCTTCCTTAAATGCAAAGGCCTCTTTAAGTAGTTTAGTTACAAACCCAAATACTAAACCCAATACTAACCCAATACTAAACCCAATACTACTCCAATCAAAATCAAAGACAAAATCAAGGACAAAGACAAAATCAAAACCACCTATACTCAGTAAATATTTATGTAATAGATCTATATAGCTGTTTAACCCATATATTTCCTATGAGATGTCTACCAAGCATCTAAACATTTGTTTCTACATACCTGCACTAGCCCAACCCCACCCCTATTTCAAGATGTGTAAGTTAGCTAGATTTACGCAGCCGGAGCGCCAACTGATGATGACTGATTGCTATTTGCCTGCATGCCCGCGCCCTTGGCATTTGAAGATTGAGCATTCATAGCTGCGGCCCCGCTCTTGCTTTCTTCCATCTGGACCGCCGCACTTGTTTGGGATGCCGCGGCATTGCTTTCTTCTACCTGGGCCGCCGCACTTGTTTGGGATTCAGTGACACCGCTTTCTTCTGTCTGGATCACCTCTTCTTGGGATTCAGTGACACAGCTTTCTTCCATCTGGGTCACCTCTTCTTGAGTTTCCATACTCCCATTTATAGCGGCGTGTTCCGAACAGCAAACAGATCCTATTATTAATACTAATCCAAATACAAGACTAACTAATGCACTTCTCATTACTCAACTGGTATTCCGTTTATTTATACTTTTATCCGATTGCCTAGATGCTCTTCCATTGTCGCCTGATCACTTATTTGCTAGTTCCACTCAGTTAGGCTCGTGGAATTGTTAATCGATTCTTGTTCAAAATCCAAGCACCTATCGCTACTTGCTCCTCAATGCATTGGTGGATTTCGCTTCGGGCAAATCGACTCGTCTCTTTATACAGACCCTCCAACTCCACCACCCGATAGGTCCCAAAGTCCTCCCCGGGCATAGAAACAATCGCATCATAAACACTCCGGCTATCCCCGCCTAGCAACCGCAAAACCTCTTCCACATCATCAATCACTACCATTGTCCGTCCCTCCGCCTTAGCCAATGCCTGGGCAAACCTTAGCACTGACAAAACCTTACGAGCCGTTCCAGCTGATGCCCGCTCAGTTAGCTGGCCTGCTCGAGCCCGTTCACATACGTAGGCATCCACAATCCTTGCCCGTACTCCTGGTCCTAAAGTCGTCGTCAACTGCTTACGCCGAGCTATTTCAGCTGAGAGTTGGGTCGGTGTTAAGCATCCTCTTAATACGCCCCGGCTTTGGTGCACCCCCAGAACATGGGCAGCAATGTCCTTATCGGCATCTCCTGCCGTATCTTTTAAAACCCGAACGGCATCAAATCGAGACAGTAAGGCCGATGGCAACCCGGCATTCCACGCCACACTCTTCCTATCAATATACCGCCCCTTAATTGGGTTAGCAGCCGCTAAAACCGAACACCGCGCATTCAAAGTCGTATTGATCCCGGCCTTAGCAATACTTATCCGGTGCTGCTCCATAGCCTCATGAACACAAGACCTATCCCCTTCGTGCATCTTATCAAACTCATCAATACAACACACTCCACCATCACTCATCACTAATGCCCCACCTTCTATCCGGTACTCACCTGTTTCTGGATCCCGTGCTACACAGGCCGTTAAACCCGCACCACTTGCCCCTCGACCCGTTGTAAATACACCCCGCGGTGAAATACGAGCAACTGCCTTCAATAACTGACTCTTAGCTACACCCGGATCACCAACCAGCAACACATTAATCTCTCCTCTTATCCGCATACCACCCTCCGTATACGTATCACCACCAATTAGCATAAGCAGCAACAATTTCTTCACGTCCTTCAACCCGGCAATTTCCGGGGCTATCGATTGACTCAACATCTCAACCGAATACCCCAAACTACCCGTCTCCAACTCATTCCCGGCCACACCACCATCTCCCACGCCCATTTCCACACCCATTTCCGCACCCATACCCGTACTCTTTGGCGTCTTGCTTAAGAGATTGCCACGCAGTAGTGTTATTTTAGCACCAAGGATGTACGTGTCACTAAGTAAGCCCATCCGCATTCTTTGCAGACCTTCATTCGGCCGTGGCAGCAAAACTCCTGCCAGTAAAACTTCCATCCCCGGCACGGCCAGTCTTACTTGCGTCTCATAGACATCGGCCACTAAAGTCCGCGGAATACGACCCGGCTGCACATCCTGCGGCATCTCTTGGATCTGCAAGACTTGCTTAGCCCGAAACTTAGAAGGACGCGTCTGTAAGTGCAACGTACCTTTAACCCGGCCACTCCGACACCTCTCCGTAGGACACTCACTTAGTGGCATAAAACTCTCACCTTCCACTTCCTGGAACAGTTCCGACGTACACTGGTCACAAACATAGACAGCCACCCAAACTGATGGATGTACTTCCGAAGTCCTACTCACTATCCCACGCACAGCCACTAACCCACCAATTCTATCCGGACCTATCTCATCAAAACTCTGTCTGTCCTTCCGACTAATATCTACACTATAGTACCGCAACATTCCCTTCGGCAGCTGTGTAAACACACTCTTCCCTGGATCTCTTTCCTGCACCCTTATCTTCCGGTGCTCAAAGAATAAATCTTCAGCTGGCATATCTATCTCTTCCTCTTTGATCATTTCATCAACTATTTCATAAACCATCTCTCGGTATCTCATTGTATTGCTTAGTACTCCCGTATACAACTCAGTATTTCCGTCTTCAAGAATGTCCTCTACATCGATAGCCAGGTGTTTTGTTTGTGGTAATGCCTTAATCTGACCCATATACTTTAAAGAACCCTTAGTTTCAAAGGTGAACAAAAATCGTCTTAAAGCCTCCCGTTCTAAATTATAATCAAGTGTAGTGTTGAACTGTTTAAGATCTTCCATGTAAAAAAAGAAATGGGCTGTTTATTAGCACTTTCTGATAATATAACAACTAGATAGATCTTCTAGTCCTTCATTAGTAAAGATAGCACTATTGGGTAAAGGTGCTTTAATTAAAACATACTGTTCAGATGTACCTTTTAGAGTAAATTTAGTATTTGGGGTTAGTTTAGCCGGAAGGGCACTAAGAGTGATAGTACGGGGGAGTTGGAGGAGAATCTTGGCCATATTAATTATCTGGGGCAAAAAAAGATAGGCTCTTGGCAGATTCGAACCGCCGGCCTTTGCTTTACGAGAGCAACGCTCTACCCCTGAGCTAAAGAGCCACAACTAGTTGTTGCGTTGAATTTACCCGGCGATTAGATAGCAATCAAAAGCAAAAAGCCAATGCGTAAAAAAGGCATGGAAAGAAAGTGTACTATGGAGTGCAATGGATGTAATAGGTGTAATAAGTGTTTAAACGACTCAACAGAGAAAATAAGTATAAGTGATGCATTTCTACAACAAACGATTTATAGCAAGCCTTCTGCTTATACTAATATACTGACTCAAAATGGCTTAAATATTAGTTTAGCTAATCCCCTATCTAATTCACTAAGTAATTCACTAAGTAATAATCTAAACAGTTCACTAAGTAATTCACTAAGTAATACTTTAAACAGTCCACTAGGTAATAATTTAGGCTTAAATAATACTAGCCCCATAAGTAACGTAAATGGTATGAATATGAGTGGTGTGAGTATGAGTAACGTAACTGGGATGAGTAGTGTGAGTAGTAGTATGAGTAGTGGTAACGTAACTGGGATGAATAACGTAACTGGGATGAGTAACGTAACTGGTATGAGTAGTACTATGAGTAACGTAACTGGGATGAATAACGTAAATACTAACTCAAGTAGTGCTCCTTTTGGACTGCATACGAACCCAGCACTAGTCAATCGTTATATGCCACGCGGGAGTAGTAGCAGTGTATTTGGTGGTCAGAAGAGTCCAATGGGGTCTTTGGGTCCGACTAATCCCTCCAATCCAATGCTCAGCCAAAAGGCAAATATGAATGGTATGAGTAGTAATATGAGTAGTAATATGAGTAGTAATATGAGTAGTAATATGAGTAGTGGTATGAGTAGTGGTATAGGGATGGGTGGTGTGGGTGGCGGTAGTAATGGCAATAACATCAATCTACGGCCATCTTTGTATCGCGAGAGTATTGGATTGGGAGGTATGAGTCGTATGGGGATGGGTGGAGTTGGGATGGGTGGAGTTAGTATGAATGGTGTGGGTATGAATGGTATGAGTATGGGTGGACTGGGCATGAGTGGAGTTAAAGGTAGTGGTCGAGGTGGACTGTGGGAGAGTAGTGAGCCTTGGAGTTTAGCTCAGAGTCAGTTTGGAGGACCCCGTAGTATTCCTTATAATCCGTTGCAATCAAATGTTCAGGAGATATCTCCACATTCACAGTTGAAATCTACTAAGATTTTGGCTAGTGCTGTGCTGGGCTTAGTTGATTTCTCAATGGACTTAATTAGTCAGCACTTACGAGTAAATGAAGTACTGGGCTTGCCTCGAGTGCAAACTACTTACTTGCAACTGGCTAAGGACTTGCTTGGGGCTGTAATTAGCTGCGGGGGATTGCAGGCGGTGGATGAAAAGAATCTGTGGGGGTACGTGACTAAGGAGTTGGGACACCAGGCTGAGGATATGATGCGGTTGCGAATGTACTATATTTTGGTGTGCTATGCCTTTGAACAAGTCTTGGCCTTAAGGAAGGCGGGTGATAGCCAGCGGATGATTGTACTAGTTTATGTTGATCCAAAGAAGAAGGATACTTTACCGGAACTAGTCTTGGGTGTCGCCCAGAAGAAGAAAAGTGGGTTGAAGTGTCAGTACGTGCAAGTAATGGAGACGAGTGGTCCGGCTGAAGTTGTATCGGCTTTAAACTATCTTTTTGCTAATGAGATCAAAAATCAGGACGATTTGATATTTTTGATTGGGAGATTGAATGAGTTTTCTTGTGGTAATCCGGAAGTAAATGTACTGTTTTGTTGCCGGGAGATTCTTTTCTTTCGGGAGGAGTTACAGGCAGTGATGCTTAAGTGGATTAAGCAGCGGATACTTGACTTGGCTTCCAAAGATGCCTTGAAAGAGAAAATGATTGTGGAGGCTTATCAAAAGTATCTTTTGAACGGGTTTAAAAGTAGGTCGAATGTAGATTGGTGTAAGAATTGTTGTTTTTTGGATGGATCTAATGCTTTGTTATCTGCTTTGTCTTTTTTGGCCAAATCTACGGCTATCTGCTTTTCCAAGGAATCTTTGTTGATTTTAGGCTTGATTTTAAAGGAACTGCCGGTTGAGTCCTTTCAAGTAGCCCAGAAGTACTTTGCTAAGATTCTGTTGGTCTTATGGAATAGTATGCGGGCTCAGACTGATCAGGAGTTGGCTTTGGCTTGGCAGGACTTGTTTGCTAGTACGGCCTTGCAAACACTGGCTTTGACTGTGAAAGAGTGGTTAATGGAGCCTTTACTAACCAAGAAAGATATTGCGCGATTACTAGGGAATGGCTTAGAAATTCTGCTGCGGATTATCTTACTACCGGGTGGAGCACGTTTTGAGCAGGTAGTTGGTTTGTCTCGTTTAGCTCAGATTTGGCGGCATTTGATTGAGCTGGTTTCGAATAAGGTATTTGCTAATAGTCCGGTGGGCTTGAAAGAAGCGGCTATTTCTTGTCTTGATCTCTTATCGCAAATACTTTATAAGGGCTTGCAAGTAACTGATACTGTAGCTGATCTGGCAGTCATTCTGGAGGCTCTTGATGCAGAAGAAGGACGTTGGCTGGAAAAGGCGCTTGTTTCTGAAGATATTCCCAACTCAATTTTCTCACTTGGCACTCTTCTCTTTAACACACACCACTAGAACCAAGCCAAGTATCATATGCTAATCAAATAATACCTGTAAAAATAAACGGTCTTCTTAGTACACTCTAATTGGGTTATTGTTAGATGGATTTGGTTTGGTTTGGTGATTTTGTGTGTTTGAATTCGGATGAGTTAGATGTAAGGGGCTATAAAGTAAATTTCCTAAATAAGCTATACTTGAAATTTCCTAAAAAGGAAATGTAACTCCTAAAAAGGAAAGACCCTAGTTAGTATTTACGTGACTCAATTCTAACCCAATCTAACCATATTCATCTCTTACAATCCCATACTAACCCAACTCAATCTTAACCCAACCCAATACTAACTCAATAAATCACTAGTAGTCCAATTTTAACTAATTATATTGAGTTAGTAATTTAAAAATAGAATCACATGTCTTCTGAATTGAATTTAGGAAGACTTTCATTTATTTTCTAGTTACGCAAACATATTATTACATATAAAGTTGATATTGGGTTAGTAGAAACAGAGCCACAACTTAACAATGCATTAAATTATATCATATTAGATTATATCATATTAGGTTATATTATATCATATCATAACACAACTTAACACAACATAACATAACACATCCTAACCCAATACTAACTCAATAGAACGGCTATTGAGATAGGGTTAAGTTTGTATTTATGCGCATACAGTTAGTTTGGTAATATATGGGGTATCTTGTTTATTGGGTTAGTATTGGGTTGGTGTTAGTATTGGGTTAGAAGAATAGATTGAGAAGTAGATCGGTCTTAGATAGCTAGATAGCCATTGGGTTAGATTGGGTTAGGATTGGTTGGCTAGATTGTGATGGTGAGCTGGGGCAATCGAATCTCGGATAAGTCGTTTAGTTTGGGCGGATTGTAATATAGACAGATGTTTTAGACCAATAGTCAGAAGTTAGATAATTAGCTACTTCCCCCGAGTTATGAAGATATTGCATAAATAGCGATCAAACAATAGTCGTATCAATATAATGTTGCGAATCAATTCAACTAAGGCAATGGCTCGTTGGGCTATTCTGATGATAGTAATAACCGGCTTTCCTTTGTACCAACTTAGCGACTTCAGACAGTTACAAGCACAAAAACCTATCTGGCATGCGAGCCTAGTAGCAATACTACACCCACACCCAGCTACTGATACGAACCAAAATGAACTAGAATATACTTGCAAGCAAACAGTTAGGGCGAGAAGCAACAGGAACTATGTTCAAATTATAATCAGCAACCATACTGTTCAGTTAATGTTTGACCAAAACACAACATTAGATCAATTTAGAAATATCAATAGTAGTCTGCAGGAGATTTCCTCTATCGTTTTGAATAATCTTATTGTGCCCGAGTTCTCTATAAGAGGTTCGCCAGAACAAAATCAAGTGTTGCTTTACACAATACTAATCCTAAGGGCCAGGAGAGTTTCTATCATCGACAAACAACCAACAGCGATAACAGAATCAGATTTAAGCAACTGTTCGCAGGCCACTCGTTCTTTATTGTCTCAGAGGCAGACCAATCTAAACCCGCCTAGAGATCACTACAGCATAGGCCATCTCAGATTATATAGTAACTACACGACCACAATCTATTTCTTTTGCGTATTTGAGTACTTGCCTCTGTTCAAAACCATCAAAATCTATAACTCCTACAAATGCTTGGATGACAATGACTTTAAAACAGCACAAAACATCAATTTAGTCGATGGCTGGATACCGTCCATATCTAATCGAAACGAAGGGCCTACTTCATATCCTCTATACTTCCCTCGACTGGAAGCAGATTCGGGGACCATATGGAGAGTTTTTGCTGTTTATGACAGACCCAATCAGGATATGTGTCCTTTTGTTCTGGAAATAGACCTTCAAAGGTTGGTAGATGAGTCGCTTTATAAATCTCCACAACTAGGCAAGAGGAAGTTAAGGAATGAGAGAGCAGTCGACAAGTTCGACATAAACACTATATGCAATGCCTCCAAGTATAGCTTAATTATTCTCAAATATAACTTAAGCCAATCCCAATCAGCGGCGGATGTTATGTCTTGTATTGTGCCGGTTCTTAACAAGCTGGCCACTTATAACATTCAGATAAGATTGGACGGACTTAATTTTGATATGGACTACCACACCAACACAATACATACTTGGGTTGATAGGCGTAAGGTTGGGCAGAACTTCTATTCCTCCTACCCTGTCATCCAAGGCGACCCAATCGAAATTATGTTGGCATCTTTAGAGGTTAGCAATATATCTGCCGGCGCTCTGATTTACCTTGCTAATAACTTAATCCCAGCGGCAGGTTCTCTTACAATCAAAGTAGTTGATAGATTTCGAGCCAAAGATCCAAAGGGCTTCATTTTTATGGCACAATTAATCGTTAGTATTCAAAGCTATTCAAAGAAAACAGTCATCTCAAATTCGTCAAATAAGATCAAGCTAAACTTTAATGATCTTCTTCTTTCCTGTCCGGCACTAACCGAAGATGAAATAGTTGAAATGTACCAATTAGCACAGGCTAGCCCCGTAATCACAATCTACACCGCCGAGGAATTAATAGAAGATTGGAACAATGCATATGAACAGAACAATGATATGCTAGACTTTATCCACATGCTCTTTTATCTATGCTCTTCGGTTTGCAGCGATCAGCAGAGCAGCAGTAATTTGGGCACGATAAAGAGTGTTATAAAGGCCGGTTTCTATGCTTATTGGAAGAGATTTAGTGACATTAGCAGTAGTATAGAAAAGTCAACAGGTAGATGCTTTATACTAAAATGTAGTTACACACAAGCTGTAGATGAACTGGATAAGCACCTAAAAAAGGTCCAGTTGATAACTTCACCAGAGTCGCTATTCGGTTCCACGGCCTGCATTCAGTTCAACTTAGACCACCAAAACCAATACGGTCTAATCGAGCTAATCAGCCGTCTTGTTGGCTTCTTCTTGGACCAGAACTTTTCTATAGGCCAACTTCGCTTTCGCGGCATAATTAGTGGGCATAACTGGAATTTACTTCACCAGGCAATCATGCAGACATATACACCGAAGTATAGAGGGATATTGATCCCGAAAACCACCATCCACTTTGACTTTATTGATGTCTCTGGCCAAGCAACGTATAGCCACACATTACGGCCATCCGGCCTGAATTAGACTAGCAGTGGATTCACAGCCAGTAATAATCTAACAGCACTTTTGTACATTACCAAATAAACACAGAGATTAGGATTAATATTGGGTTGGTCTGTCCATCGGATGGATATGGCGAAAAGACTAAACAGGTCTTCAGCACGGCATTTAATTTAGGGATAATTTAGGTGTATTTGAACCACTGGGTTTCCACACTATAGGATTAGTATTGGGTTATGGCACAATCAGATACCATGGTATTAGTAGAGAAAAGTGGCTCTAGCTGTAGGCTACATGGTAATTCCGTAGAATTTGTTGAATATAAGCCTAGTTACATTTGGTTGATTTTTTAATCTGTTTGGCGGGTTTTCCTTTTTTGGACATCAGGTCTTAATTAGGAAATGTCATTTTTCCTTTTATGACCAAACATGGGATATTTGTTGCTAGATTTATCAAAATCTCGCGTATTAGTACTTTTAGATACTGGCTTGCTGGTATATGGACCCTGCTAGCATTGGTGAGCGTTGCTAGATCCAATGACATTACTAATATGGAAGTCCAGGACGATTGGCAGACTTCGGATGGGATAGCCAAAATTCTAAGCGCATGCGGTTTTAAGCTTGAATTTGGTGATTATAGTAGGAGTTTCACAACTACACCCTATATTCCTGAACGAACACAGGTGCCAGATGAGAGATTTGGAAAAGTTGACTCCATTCCTAAGTATGAACTAGAACCTTGGAATGATCGAATTGAGTTTGAGCTGCCTTACTTTCCGAGTGATAAGGAGGCCATAGCTGTTTTAGAAGACTTAAGGAAGATCGCCATTGTTAGGGTTTCTATTGCTCTGGTTAGTTATAAATCGACTAACCCAGAACTTCACAAAATCAGCATGCAAATTCTATCACGAGTTGTCAACATGCTTGACTGTTCAATCCTGCGGTTTTATTACACTCCAGACTTGGCAAAGAAAGCCCGAAACCAAGAAGTAGATGGGGTTCTCTGCAGTAGTGAAGCACAAAACACAATCAGCCACGCTAAATACAGAGCGAAATGTCATGTTTCCTTTTCCAGTGCTAGTGGCCTTTTAGACGTGATTAACAGCAAAGTGCGCTTGTTACGGCCAATTTCAAGTGTTACTTTATTGGACAGCGAATTTCAGCACATTTCATATCTTGGCCTGTTGACACTAAAGCCTAACTATACCCTCTCCATTGAGAACCTGCCAAATAAGGCCAATATTAATCTCGCGTCTCTTCCAACTAAGGTTTGCAAGTGCCAAGAGATCAGTATCAAGAGTCCCCAAAACATGAAACTAACATTAACAGGCTTCAACCATGCCAATAACAACTTTCCAATACTACATCTAAGTTTGTCTTGGAAGACTTTTGAGTATCTCGCTACACACAACCCGGCCCAAATTCAAGGTAGTATTGTTTTGAGTCTTTCGGTCAGTCCAGATTCTCATCAGGATGTGCTTAAAGGTAATTATCAGCCCATGTCAAATGGCTATCAAATTGCTGTTGAGCTTGTTTATTTCAGCATTGACACAAGCATGCCATGCGACGTCTTTGGGCAGTATCGCAGAATCTACACAAAAGAGTTCTTATATAGGTATGGAGTTGTGGCCAGCAACGTACTGGTATACTATGAGCCAGGCCGAAACAACTTTGACAAAACCATAGCCAGGCTTGGGTTTATAGGGAATTTGCCGCAGTCTCTATTAAAGGAGATTAGAGAAAGCAATATTGTATGTTGTGGGAACGGCCTCAATACAATCGATTGGACACTCCGACAGCCGGTGGTCATTCAACTTGACGATCCCCAAGTACTGTACTGGCTTAAACGGCACAAACAACCGAGCATCGACAGATTCTGCCAGCATATATACTACACGTCCCTTAACATTAGCGGTGGTCAAGCTCCAAGAAAAGGCCAAGTTAAGCGGTGCATTAGACTCCTCAATCATCTAGAATCCATTAGAGGCCAAAAGCTATGCATTTCGAATATTCGTGATAAGAGAAAAACCAAGGGAAGGTTTGATTTAGCCACTCTGAAGGCAGAAACAACTAAATCTCCCCGATACACCCTTGGCCTCGACACTTTGATATTAGACAACGTTGATGAGGCCATTATTTATAGGATGTTTGGACGTTATAATATTGTCAAGTTAAATGAAGTGCATATTTTGAACCAGGTATTTAAGAATCTGGCTATCGTTCAGCTTCTTTCCTTCTCACTAGGCCCGATAGACACAAAGCTTGTGCTCAATGATCTGGCTAACCTAAATGAGATCGTGCGTTATAACCGGCGAGATCGAATCAAAGGCTTTTCGTTGTTCAAATACGTGGAAGATTTCCAGCAGCGCAATCAATCAGTGGACAGCCTTCATCTAAATAGGTTGGTCCTACAAGTAGATGACGTTGATTTTGGTGCACACGACCTAGCCTTATCTGTAATTCGATCCTACGGCATTGAGCTGCCAATTACTGTCGCTTTCAAAGAATATCTCGCCAATAGATCAGTAATACAGGACGAGAAAGTGGTAATAATTCATAGCATTACAACCGAAGCTCTAAAAGCCGATTTACTCTATTACCAAGCTCAAAATCCAATGCAAGCTCATCTAATCAAAAACACAAGCATCACGGAGTTAGTCTTACACTTCAGCAATGACCAGGTATTAACGAAAGAGAGCTTAATAGAAACTATCCGATGGACAATCTGCCGATTTGAGAAATTAGCTGCATTGCGACTGAGAAATGCCAATGTGACCGCAAATATGCAGAATGTCTTTGCCTCACACAGATATTTAATCCTTGATTTAGACTCGCTCAAAAGCATTCGCATAGAGGGCGTAGGCCCAAACAACTCGCATATTGAACTATTGCTCCAGCCGCATCACAAGCATTTATTGGCAAATACCACCAATACCAACCACAATTTCACTGCCATAGCTTCTTCAACGCTCTTCCGCCTTTTCCACCAACTCGATCAACTCGACCATCTGGACAAAGCCTTCCCCAAGCATATCGGATCCAGGATATGCCCCCTCCAAATAGTCATAGAGAACCTCCAGAAGAAAAAGGACTGTCCCAGCGATATCCAGTGTGCTTATTGCCAGAAACCTCTGTGCGAGTCCACGGAAGAAGGACCAAACAAGAATGGGCATATACTCAACGAAGCGGTTGCATCCAAAGCCTTTTGTTATCTCAAATGCGGCCACCTAGCCTGTCATACATGTGTGTATACTACGCTAACTCTGGACAAGCCAAGAACGACGTGTCCTATGTGTCGACAAACCGGCGTGTTTGAAAATATGCATCAGCTGATAGGTGTTCCACGATCTGTATTTGTTTTTACAGAGACAGACGCCTCCTTACTTAATGCAGATCACGAGTGGCTTGATACTATGGCACTGAATGACGGTCATGTTTATTTATACATCCCTTATGAAAACATAGATGATCTTTGTAATGCTGTTAAAAACGGACCAGTTTTTGATGAAGATCATCTCATTTATGTTATTTGAGTCGACTACGAATAAATTGGGTTATATTTGGTTGGTTATATTTGGTTTGTTGTGATTTGAGTTGGTTTGGTGTAGTGTAATTTGGGTTCAGTCGATTGAATCGGTAGCAATTGAATTTATGCTAACCCAATTGAATGCCAGTTGAGCTTTAAATAGATCTAGTTTAATTGCTTTCCCTTCTTTGATCTCCAGAACTTAAATCTGCAATCTCTCGTATGACATAAACACCACTCACTAGTTATACTAATCCAATACTAACTGTGGTGCCCTCGTCGGCCTCCACTTCAAAGTGAGTTATCTACAGGAGTGTAGTGCTGCAATGTTTATCGGCTTGGCACTGATCGCAGCGAACGCGATTAAAATCTTGAATTAGAAATCACAAGCTCAGATTAGCATTTATATTATGAGTTTACAGACTAGCTCAAGATGTCGTACGATAAAGAGAACTTAAGTTATACCAACTCAATACTAACCACTTCAAAATCGGTCTTTAGTCGAATATGTTTGGTTGAAAGGTACTATCCCTTTCCCGGGGCACGACACTAACCCAATTTGTGCTTCATGATATATCAGAAGACCATAAAGTATAAATCAGATTGAAATCAAAAAATACATTACAGTTTCATGGCCCGACTAAAACAGGTTATCTTACTAGCCTTCTTGTGTGCAGTTATTGGATCGTATGGGCTGTACGGAATGAATGAAGTAGAGCCGCCAAGTCCAAGCGCAATGGCCACCATCATGAAATCAGTTGGCTTTAGTTTTGTTGGTATGAATTACAACCTACAAACTACATTTGCTGAACCTAAGCAACTACAGACTTCAGCTCCTACTTCTAACCCACAGCCAACCCAACCCAAACTTGTAGTTGAGTTATTGAAGAGGGATATACGCTTTGGCCTATGTAAATATTCAAATGCAGCTGCGGCCGAGGCGGCTTTGCTTGAATTAAAACGAATTGCTGTTATCAGATGCGAAAACGTTATTATCAACTGTGCATTACCCGATTTAAACTGCCAAGAGAAGAGTTTGCAAATTCTATCTCGAGTTGTTAACATGATTGATTGTTGGGTTCTAGAACTTTTTGTTCATTCCCGCCTCAAGGATCAGCCACAAAACAATCACCTCTATAGGAACATCTGTCGCTCAGAAGCACAGGATGCATTCGACCAGATTGACTATAAACTACCATGTTTCCTTAACCTTTCCAGTGAAACGAGTATAAGCCTCTCAGGCTTCATTTCCAGTGGCATTGTCTTACAACGGCCAATTTCAACCCTTTTTTTATCCGATAAAGATTGCAAGGCCATCTCTTTTCTGAACCAACTGCCGCTCAAACCCAACTACTCCCTTATCATCCAATTTTTGTCCAGCGTAGGTGGGGTTGATTTTAGCTTTCTTCAAAACCCATCCACAACCTGCGGTAAGATCACCATCATCACTCGCCAGCAGAATAAGATTACTTTGACTGGTCTTACCAATGCAGTTGATAAACATCCGACTCTAACTCTACAATTGAGCTGGCCCGCACTTAAGTATCTAAGTGAGCACAATACTTCTTCAATTAACGTTCATACCATTAACTGCCAGGGAGTCACCCCCAACTCTATCCGGCCGCTGCCTTCTCTCCAACAAGAACAAGAGCCCCGCATATTTGCTACTGTGATCGTTTCCCAAATCTCAACCTCTATGCCGTGCAACTCAATAGATTCCCACCAGGGCCTCTACACCCCAGAAGTCTATGCAGAACACGGCATCATAGTTAAGAGTGCCAAAGTCCAGTATATGAACGAACGCAGTGACTTATATCGAACCATGGACGTATTTAGATCGGTCGGGGCTTTAGAAGATGTACCAGAAGAGATTGTGGCCGACGATATTACTTGTTGTGGCGACGCACTTAGTGATCCAAAGTGGACACTCCAGGAGCCAGTTAGTATTTCACTTAACCACGACGAATTAGCCCCCTGCCTTAAGGAGTACCAATCCAGATACGTATGCTTCTGCCAGAATATACACTACACAACCCTTGAAATCAAAGGTATTAAAGATCCAGCCCAAAAACTAGTCAAAAGATGTCTTGACCTCCTAGTTTTGTTCCAAAACATTACCGCCAACGAACTTTGGATTTCAGATATCCGCGACAAAAACCGAACCAACACCAACTTTGACCTGAGAAGACTAAAGGAAACAGCAGCCAAACGGCCCCAATATAAACTCCACGTCAAAGCTCTCTGGCTAGACAATGTCGATGATCAGATTCTCTACTGGATATTCGGACACTACATCTTTACCCAAGAGATGGACGTATACATTCTGAACAATGCCCTGAAGAACCTTGCAATCGCCCAGCTTCTTTCCCAGCCCATAGGCCAGAATATTGACAACCTCCTGCTTATTGACTTCACCGAATTGGATGAAGTTGTGCATTTCAGGCAACAAGCCCAGCTCAAGACATTCTCATTATTCAAATACGTAGAAGCAGCCAAACAAGAAGGCAAAACCCCCCAAACTCTTGGCCTACACAAACTGCACTTGTTTCCACAGTTTGACGATCCCAAGCCGTACAGCGATGTCCTGTCCAAACTTTGGGAGTATGGAATCCATCTTTCAGCCGTGCCATTCCCCGAGTTCATCACCAGCCCGACCACATATACTATCCACGCCAAACTAATGGACCAGCCCGACTTTAAACTTTACAACGTCACGCTAGAAGCTTTAAAAGCTGATTTTATCCACCACCAAGCTAACCCAACCGCCACCGATTCAGACTCTCTGCCAAGAGGATCAGTTAATGAACTCGACCTACAGTTTAGCGACACCCAGATGTTAACGGCAGAAGACCTAGTAACTATTATCCGCTGGGTCGCAGGCCGCTTTAAGGACATAACTACCTTACAACTAGTCAATGCTAAGATGACCAAAAAGGAGCGAGCAGAATTCACAGCCCGGAACTACTTGATCATCGACCTAGACTCGCTCAAGAGCATTCTTCTAAAGAGTGAGGTGCCAAACACTCCACCCATAGAGTTACTAACCCGGCCTTACCATTTTAGTTTATTAGCCCAATACGCCACTCTTCCCCAACGAATATCTATTGCCGTGTCAGCCACAACTTTACTCCAACTTGCCAGCAACACCGCCCATTTTGACAGTCTCATCCCTCCACACTCTTCCCCCAATTCATCCATCCAAAGAGCGTCCAGAGACATCAAGAAAGCCCAAACCAACATTATGTGCCCAGTTTGCTGTAAAGAGCTTTATGTGCCCAATCTAGAAAACGGAGTAGATACTACCCAACCCGACCCCGACAATAACTTCCCTGTACTGTGCTACCTCAAATGTGGTAAGCCCATCTGCAACCTATGTGTGCTCGGTATTGCCGATGGAGATCCCATTGATTCAAAGGTCTGTCCATATTGCCGAGAGCCAAATATGTGCGACCAGCTACACCAAATTATAAGTGCACCCCCATCTATCTTCACTATTGCCCAGGGCAGTACAACCGCACCCAACACCCAGCACAGGTGGATCACAAGCAAGATCTGGCACACCGGCCAAATCTATCTATGTATTTCCTACAAGCAACAACCCAACATCACCACTCTACAGAAAGAAGAGTCAACCATCACCGCCAACCCAATCTATCTCATTTAAATTACACCGACCAACGCCTCTTATAACCTTATAAGAACCAACAATAAATTGAGTTAGCAGCGAACTAGTCACCCCACACCTACATTACCAATGCCATACCATACCAACTCAATACCAAACCAACTCAATACCAAACTAAACTAAACACATCCTCTCCTAACTCAACTAAACACATCCTCTCCTAACTCAACTAAACACATCCTCTCCTAACTCAACCTACACATGTGCGGCCATATGCTCGGGTAAGCACCGGATCCCGTTCGATCTCCGAAGTTAAGCCCGTGACAGCCTTGATAGTACTGCGATGGGTGACCGCGTGGGAACACAAGGTGCTGCACTTTTTGTTCTTCTCTCCGACTCCCCAACTCTACCTCCTATTCTAACTCCACCCAGTACTAACTCAATACCAACTCAACCCAATTCATCTTTTAATCAATAAATCACATCAACCCTTTATTTGATTTATGCGGGCACTAACTCAACCCAATAATAACTCAATCCAACCTAACTCAACTCAATACCAACTCAACCCAACCCAATACCAACCTAACTTAACCCAACTCAATACTAACCCACTTCTTATTAGTAGGGCCGCGGACTAGGGCTAAAGATAAGATAAAGACCAAAAAGAAGAAGAAGAGTACTAGCTAAACTCAACATGAAAACTCCGCCACGCAACCCTCCTATCGGTTTCAACCGCAATAAATCCGCTCGGCGCTGGTACCCCGATCTAAATACCGGCTTCTTCAAAACAGTCCGCCATAAGGCTTCTTCCAAGGCCGCACTCTTCATAACAAACACTACAAGAACAATGCATAAAATAACCCGTTTATTTGGCCGCCGGAATGAAGTCATCAATACGCACAATCGCAGCTGCTCCATCTAGAGCCCCAGATATACCCGATAAAGACACACCAAGTGGCTGAATGACATTCTCCTTCTGCATACTCCCAGGACCAACCGCCCGTACCGAAACTCCCAAGTCCGAAGGACCCTGAGCATGCGCCTTAAGCAAACACTCCAACGTACTAATAGCTTCAGCCCCAGCATTCACTGCTAACATCTCTGGAACTACCAATAAAGCCTTAGCCAGTTCCCGCACACAGTAACTAACCTTAGGCAATTTCGGATCATTATACTGAGCTAAAGCCGTACAACAGACCAGTTCAGGCACACCTCCCCCAGCAATCAGTCGTGGTGTAGCTGACATCAACCGTCCAACATTAATAGCATCATTAAAACTCCTATCTACCTCCTCCAGAATAACTTCATCCGTTCCCCGTAAAATCACCGTACATACCTTAGACTCCACTTGAATCTTCACATATCCCTCTAAATCCTCCACTAAATACTCACCAACCATACTCTCCTTAATCTCATTAATATCAACTACTGGAGATAAAGATAACTGTTCAGCACATAACTCAACTTCCTTCCTCTCCACATCATCAACCACCAGAACACCTAAACGGTCCAAAAAGTGCAAAGCCAGCTCAGAAAGAGACTCACGCACAATACTCTTCTGAATAATAAGTAAATCCAGACCTAAATCCTTAATAGTCTTACATAGGGCTAAAACATGAGCTTTTTCTTCCCGTACTACTGCTTCCATCGCTTCATAATTACCAACATTAAGTTTAGCATCTAAATTGGGTTTAGACTGACCAATAGCACACTGTAGAATAGCAACCTTCATCTTACGCGGCATAAACTTAACCTTCCTTTTTAAAGGCATACTTAGTACTATACCTGGAACCATCTTAATCTCTTCCATATTCCCTTTGATCTTAATCCTTCTAATGTTCTGCAGGGGTAGTACGCCATCAGGACCAACTGTATGCTGAATAGCTTGCATGGTTACTTCAGTAATGGCTTCAATATAAGCACTAACAATCTTTGAGTTTAAAGAGATACGAATACAATCTCTTAAGTCATTCTGACCCTTAGCTTCAACTGAATGTTTAGTTAAAGCTTCCTTACACACAGATTTAGCCCTTTCCATGGCATTAGCTACTACTACGGGATGAATCTTCTCATCAATCAGAGCTGAAGCTGCTTCAACTAAAGAACAAAGAAGAAGAGTAATACTAGTAGTACCATCACCACTCTGTTCATCTTGTGAGTGGGAGATGTTACAGATCAGTTGGGCAATTGGATGTTTCATCTTCATCATCTTTAAAATCGTACTACCGTCATTGGTAATAGTTGTTTGATTGCCCTGCGTAATCATTTTGTCCATTCCTTTAGGTCCTAGACTTGTTCCCATGGTAGAACGAATAGATTGAGTAACAGAGATAATTCTGCGACGGACTTCTTCTGCACGACTGCCAGCTTGTTTCATAGCCTAAAAGAAATTTGCAAGTCATATGGATACTGATACGCGGTTTGTCTTGTCAAAATCCACCATGTCCAAATCAAAAGTCTTAAAAGAGATAGTCCTGGCGGAAAAGATTACTTGTTGCCTGAATAAGGCTTTAGTTTTTGGAGGGTTCTTAGGTGGAGTTATTAAGATTAGTGCACAGCAATATCCAGTAGTTATAACTCAAGTTGAAGATCCAGTTTCGGCTCTGGCTATAAAAGGTAATAATGTTGACAGCAATGAATTGGGTTTAATGGGTAGTATTAGTATGAGTGGTGGTATTAGTAATGATAGGGTGGGTAGTAGTGGTAGTGGTATGAGTAGTAGTATTAGTAATGATAGGGTGGTTAGTAGTGATAGGGTGGGTATGAGTATGAGTATTAGTAGTGGTAGTGGTATGAGTATGAGTATGAGTATGAGTGGTAGTAGTAGTGGTAGTGTTATGAATGACGAAGTGGATAGTAAGTTGGCTATAGGTACTTGGAAGGGTGAAGTTAAGTTGGGAGGTGGAGGTGGGATTAGTATAGGAAGACTGCCTTGTAAGTACTTGCAGAGTATGGGTGGAATAAGAGGTAGTGGTGGGGAGGTAGAGGAGTACTGGGTGGCTAGTGATGCTAATGGACTGGTTGTTCTGGTTGAGGAAAAGTTGGTGAGTGGTGGACGGCAGTTGCAAGAAGCCTTTCGGTGGCGGTTGGGTACTTACTTGCTTAAATGGATAGTGAATGGAGATGGTTGGGTGGGATTGACGGGATTTAGTGTGGTTTGGGTGGAAAGAGGAGAAAAAGGAGAGTTTGTAGTGAGTAATCAAATTGCCCATATTCATGCTGATCGGGAGGAAACTGAAACTTTAGTCTGTTTAGTGGAAAGTCAAGGTAGACTTTTTGCTGGAACAATTGGAGGTTGGCTAGTAGAACTATTAGACTGGTCCGATGCAACTACTTTTCAAATCAAACATCTCAAACAAGTAAGTACTGAGAAGATTACGGATCTTATAACTTATACCGTAAATGATAAATCATACTTTATCTGCACTACTCCTAACCATCTACACATAATAGATCAGACTAAATTATCTCACTTAGACCAATTTGAACTATCTAAAACGAATAGTTTAGGCTGGGTAAGAGTATGTCCAGACCAACTCGGGCTCTTAGCCGTCTTAGATATTTGTCATCGCATTTATTTCGTTGATATAACTGCAGTCACTGGCCAAAACCAACCCGGCCCTGCACTACCCAGCACTGCCTCCGTAGATGATATCTATCAAGACCTTCTAGCCCAAGTAAACAGTGGCCAACTCTAATTTACATTATACGCCACTCCATCCCACTCTACTTAACTCTACTCCATCCCACCTCACTCCACTCCATCCCACTCATCTTATTCTACTTAGCATCACACTAATCCAATATGATCCGCGATTATCGCCCAGCTTAGATCAGTTGAGAATTGAGCTACTTAAACCCAAACCTTGCAATTTTGCTTATGAAATACTTGAACTTCGTCTTATCTTTTGTCCTTATCTCTCTTCTTTATCTTTCTGGAGTAGCAACTACATTAAAAGCCGAGCCACTTAACGACTGTAACCGATACGATAGCCGAAGATACCAATCAACCATAGGCTTTCAGGCCAAATCTTCTACCCACGAAACATCTTTACTACGCCGCATCTACAACAACCACAAACTCTTCTGGTCCATTATTGCCACCGCCGTCCTCATCATCATCGCCACCATCCTCATCATCGTCTTCGCCTGCACCTCCAAGAAGACCTAAACCATCCGACCACTACCCAAAATAAAACACCACTATCTACCATCTACATTAACTCAACATTATCTTATTTTATTATCTAAATTCAACTTAATCTTATCTAAATATAACATAATCATATGTCAACTTCCTTATCTAAACTTAACTTAATCTAAACTCAATCTTGACTTAACTTAACTCAACTTAATCTAAACTTAACATAATCTTAATCTTGACTTAACATAATCTTATCTAAACTTAACTCAACTTAATCTAAACTCACCTAAACTCAACCCAATACTAAACCCAAACCAAACCCCACCTAATCCAAACTCCAACTAACTCCACCCAAACCTAACCCCACCCAAATCCAATCCAAACTAACCCAAATCCAATCCAAATCTAATAAAAACTTCATTTAAAAAATCTTTCCTTATCGGGTAATCGATCTCCTCACCTCCTAAAACAACCCCAATCCTTCCCAAACTCTACCCAAACCCTTAAAACCCACCCTAAACCCTCTAAAACCCCCATATCTAACCCTACCTATAAATTTGCACATTTTTTATTTTTTAACATGAATAGTGGACACAATAATCCCAATACTTTCTCTTCGGGGTTTAATCAGTCTCCCCTGCAAAATCAATCACCCCTGCAAAATCAAGACCAATCTATCTATAGACAGCCTTATAACTCCAACTCTCTTTACTCTACCCCTTCTAGATACGGTACTGTTGATAATAATGCCCCAATTAAACTCCCACCAAGTACTCCCAATACTTCCCGGGAGACTTATCGTGTTATCAAAGAGAGTACACATACACAATCAGGTACTCCTATGGATCTTATCTCTATTACTGCTATGCCTGTTTATAAAGAGTACTCCTTAGAAGAGTTAAGAGCAGCTGATTATACTGTTAATCGTAAAGGTAATATTCAACGTATACCCCAGTATAACTCTTCTTCTCCTTCTACTTATAATACAACTGGATCTTCAGCCTTTATGAAACAACCGAGTAGTTCTCTTTATAGTAGTACGCCTGGTAGTTCATTTAGTACGGGGTATCAGTCTAAGCCGGAGAGTAGTAGTGGTGGATTTGGAGGGTTTAGTAGTAGTAATAGATTTGGCGGTCAGACTTTTGGTGGTCAGAGTAGTAGTAGTAATTCTTCTTATCTCCCTAGTACATCTAATACTAATCAGGGTAGTAATAATAATACAATGATAAGATCTAGTGGAGGTTTTGGTAGTGGGTTTGGTAATCAAAATACTAGTAATAATCAGACTTTTGGTAATCAAAATCCTAATCAGACTTTTGGTAATCAAAGTAGTGGGTTCTTTTCTACTCCTAATGCATCAACTAGTTCTTTAGGTGGTAGTGGTGGGGGTGGATTTACTGGGGGTAGTAATAGGTTAGGGTTTGGACAGACTCAAGGTGTAAGTAGTAGTACTCAGCCGGGGTACAGTACTGGGTTTGGGCTGGGTAGTTCTAATCAAAATCAAGTAGGTGCTAATCAAAATCAGGTAGGGGTAAATCAAAATCAACTGGGAGTTAATCAAAATACTAATCCTTTTGGTCAACTGAACTCAACTCAACCCAATCAAAATCAAAATCAACTGGGTACTAATCAAAATACTAATCCTTTTGGTCAATTGGGTAATTCTAATCAGGTAGGGATAAATCAAAATCAAAATCAAAATACTAATCCTTTTGGTCAATCTAATCTGAGTGGGTTAGGGAGTGGTAGTAGTACTTCTGGATTTGGACTGAATAATGCAGTGGCTGGTAGTGGTAGTACTAGTGCTTTTAGACCGGCAGTGACTGCTCAGGCTTCGCCTTTTGGTACGCCGACTGGTCAGTCGGGTTTAGGTTTGGGTCAGACTAATCAGTCTTTTGGACTTAATAGTCCTTCACAATTAGGTCAAGATATGAATAAGCCTGTTTTATCTGGATTTTCAACTGGTAATTTGAATCAAAATTCTAATCAAAATCAATCTTTCTTATCTACATCTAAACCAAATGAACAAATTACTAATCAAAATAATACTGGTCTTACTCCTAGTTCTAATCTAAATCCAACTGGTAATTTCTCTTTCAACTCAGCTTTGAATCCTTCTTTAGGCCAGTCCTTATCTAATCAGTCAACTTCTGGTTTTTCTTTATCTAATACTAATCCTTTAGGCTCCGGCTTAGGCTTAGGCTTAGGCAGTACTGCGCTTAATAAACCTGTGGAAACACCCGGTAGTACTACTAATCCTAGCTTAGCTAGTCAGTCTTTTGGTAATACGTCTTTTTCGTTTGGGCAAGTTAAACCTTTAAGTACAACTACAAGTACGACCGGTTCTACTCCTAGTAAAAACAATGATCCTTATCTCTTATCTGCTATCAACTTCAAAGAATGTGATGATTATGAAAAAAGAAAACAAATTGAAGTTCCCCCTCTTATCTTTGAAAAGGCTCCTCGTACAAAAATCAAGTTCAAAACAACGGCTCCTTTTAAATCTCTTTCAGTTGATAAACCTTTAGTTCCAGTTGATCCTAATGAAATTCCTGAAAATGAAATCAATCAGTACTATACTATCCCGCCTTTAGATCAACTTAAACAAATGAAAGATAAGAAAATCAATGGTTTAGTAGTGGGTAAAAAAGGAGCTGGTTATATTGAGTTTAAATGTGAGATAGATTTGAGTGAAGTAGATCTAGATACGATTCCTAATGACGTACAGTTTAGTAAGGGTGGAATTACTATGTATTCTGATAAAGATATTGATGTAGGAGTTGGTCTGAACAATCCGGCTAAGATTGTGCTGGAGAATGTCTTTGCCTACAGTAAGTCAACGGGACTGAGTCTCTTAGGGAAGCGAACGAGTCTTCCGGAGAAGGAAATGCAGGAGTATATCATTAATAAGGCGGCTAGTAATGGCCGAGCACGAATTATCAGTTATAATTATGAAACTGGAGTTCTGGAGTTAGAATGTGATCATTTCTAGATAAATTTGAGTTAATTTTGATTTAAGTTGTGTTTTGTTTGTGTTTTGATTTAAGTTGTGATTTTGATTTTGACTTAAGTTGTGATTTTGATTGTGTCTTATCTAATTGGCTACTATATAACCCAAATACCAACTTAACTTAACTCTACTTAACTCACCCCACCTCAACCTACCCCACCTCACTTTAACCCACCTTACCTCACCTTAACTCATGCAACTACTATCTAAATAAACTTTGTTTTTGATATACATTTCATCTGTTGTTTTGAAATAACTAGATATCCACTTATACTAACTTAACTTAATACTACTAAACATTTATTTAAAATCACTATCAAAGCTATCTTAATCCAACACCAACTCAACTCAACACCAACCTAACACCACCCCACCCCAATACTAACTCAAATGTTATCTTAATTGCTTCTTGACCTTTTGAACTAAGACATCAATTAGGGGGCATTCTTTGGCTAGAGATATGAACTGGGTTGTGCTGGCTACTTCCTCTGTCTCTTCTAGGAACTTAGAAAGACCGTCATTGATCTCATAATCAAATAGTCTTAAAACCTTCCGGTTGATCTCTTGAAAGACTTCATGACGACCTTCCAGTACTTTTTCAAGACTACGAGTGCGAAAGACTATCTCACTTACTAAACTCTCCATCATACTTAGTAAAGAAGGATGTTTTTCTACTACTGGTGCTACTTCTTTCTCCATCCGTAATAAGACATGTCCTTCTGTTTGGCCACGTACTTCTACGTCTTCTAATAAATCTTGTCTTAAGATAGCAAAGTACAAGGCAGGATCATCAGAAAAGATAAAAGGAGAGATAGCAGATGTCTTTTCTAGCACTCCTAAAAACTCTCCTTTCTCGGCTAATAATCTGATCTCTTCTCGTTCAGGTAGGACTGGTACCATCTCAATACTAATCCCAGTTTCACGTTTAAAAGCTCGAGCTGCTTTACTATACCCCTGTTCAGATAAGAATTCCAAAATAACCTTTTGAATTGATTCCTGACTAATTGATAAGCCCAAGAGCTTTTCTTCTATATGCGTGCTTTCTGCATCTACTTCATTGACTACTTCTTCACTTGGCTGGAAGCTTTCCACCTGCATGTAAACAAACCCCAGCCATTTTTTTTATGGATCTACTACCACGAACCAGAACGCGTCCTATGCCTTCTCTTGTTTCTGGTGATTTTATCATCACCACCACAACTTCTTTAGATAAAGACCTTCTTCACCAAATAAATTGGGAAAAAACGGTCTTTGTTGTAGATACGCCCCCTACTGGGTTTATTACACGTATAATTCAAGAATTCCAACAAATCTACCCACAAGCCCACCTTTCCCATCTTGTGGCACCTTCTCCCACCTCACCCGATACTTCCGAACAAAAGACTGATCAAAACCTAAATCAAAACTCAAATCAAAATCAAAACCAAAAGATTAACACCATCCCAAATCCACTCCATTCTATTATTCTTACTTATCAAGATTGGAATTTTTGGCAATCAAAATTACCCATCTACTCCCATTATGTCTTCATTAATATTAACCGGACAGCCGCCAAAGAAAAGATCTTACAAACTATGACTCATCTATCTCACTCCAACTCAACTCACTCCAACTCAACTCAATCTAAACCGGTCTTTTTCTTCTACAGTAATGTTTATAAGCTAGAAAGTATTTCAAAATTACAACAACTATCTTTTAATCGTATTTTGCCTAAAAAGGAAGGATTTGGTCTAGCTCGATCTCTTAGAGCTTTTGGTCGTACTGCTGAAGTTATCTTTGCTGGTCAGCCCCATCTTAAACCTAACGCTTTCTTAGTAGCTTTAGATAGAGACATTACTGTACCTTGCTTAGTTGTAGCTAACTCAGCTACTAGTCTAGATACGGCTGCTGCCACTATCCAACGCCTACCTCTTCTGGCTAACAAAACCACTACCTCTCTACCTGAGTTCGTAGCTAAACGAGCCTGGATTCTTCTACTTACGTATGAAGACTTACCTGGCCTGATTAATGGTCCTTTCTTTGACGATCTTAGATCCTTAGTCCAGTCTCTAGTGGCCTTCGACTGCACCGATAAGATCCGCACAGTCCTAAACATGCACCAACTATCTACCCATGTTTTCTCACTTTGCACCACCCAGGACCGGACTCGCGCCAAATACATGACTCATAGTCTCCCGGATTTTGGTATCAATCTGGAGCCGACCGCCCAACACTTACACGATGAGTTAGACCAATAAACAACTACCCCCTCTTTTTTATTTAGGCCAATGGAGCGACTCTTCCGTATTGAAGACATTCTTGCCTATATTCAGTCGCAGAAACAGAACAATGTAAGTCTAACTCGTCTACTTTCAATTTACTATGAAGCTACCCAAAAGAACTTAGATACTAACGAGCAAACTCTAGAGTTATGGCAAGGATATATCGGACTTTTAGAGAAGAATGGATATGCACATACTGAAATCAGAGAAGTGTACAAGATGTTGAAAAGTAAGTATTGGCGATTTCTTTCTTTCTGGAGTGGTTGGTTGGACTATGAATCAAGATTGCCTTATAGTTGCAGTAAACGGGCTAAAGTAGTTGAAGCAGCTGCTGATATGTTGCAGTATAAAGAGTGTCCTGAGAAGAGTGCTATTCTAAGTTGGGCCCGGGAAAGACAAGTAGGTAGTGCGGATAGTAGTGATACACGGTTACTCTACCCGGAAACACCACGAAGTGTTGGGTATACGATTGAACCGAGTGAGTTCTTAGGGAATGAGCCTTTAGGGATGGGAGGTCTAGGGAGTTGTGGTCGGTCTTTACTGGACCAGGAGAATGTTGGTGGAAATTATCCGACTCAAAATGCTATGTCCGATACAGTGACTATGTGTGGCTCTGTTTTTGATAGTCCTTTAGGTGCAGTTAATCGGGGTAAACCCGGGAGTAGAGTTGATTTAGATATGGAGATAGGTGGGGATTTAGGAGGGGAGACGAATGAAGGGCGTTTAGGTGGGGAGAAAGGTCCAGGATCTCCTAATCATAAGAAGATTACTTTGAATGGTCGGAAACTTAAGATTTTAAGGACTATAGGTAAGGGTGGAAGTGGTAAGGTTTATCAAGTTCTTTCTGATAAGAATGAAGTCTTTGCTTTGAAAAAGATCAAGATACCGGCTGGCCGGGAGAGTGAAGAGATTCATAGTAGTTATGTTAATGAGATTGAGCTTTTGAAACGACTTAAAAAACGGCATGAGATTGTTACACTTAAAGATAGTTATGTAAATCATGATCGGATAGCTATTCTAATGGAACATGGAGATATTGATCTAAGTAGGTTTTTAGAGATAGAAAGAACACGAGTACCGGGTGGGTATCGGTGTAGCCAAGAGAACTATACGATGATTACTCTTTGGGAACAGATGTTACGGGCAGTTAAATGTATTCATGACCACCGGATTGTTCATCGCGATCTTAAGCCGGCTAACTTTTTGTTTGTTAATGGCCGTCTTAAACTCATTGATTTTGGTATCTCAAAAGTAATCAAAAATGATACGACTAATATCATTCGTGAAAAACAGATAGGTACAATTAACTATATGTCTCCTGAAGCCATTATAGAAGGTAAAACTAAAATGGGACGTAGTAGTGATATTTGGTCCTTAGGATGTATTCTTTATGAGATGTACTTTGGCGAGTCGCCTTTTATGCGCTTCAAGAACTTAGTGCAACGTATGCAGAAACTACTTGATGATAAGTATGCGGTTGAGTATCCACTAGAAGAACCGAATGACAATCGGTATCCAGAAGCAGTGGCCGAGATGCAGAAGTGTTTAGTTCGTGAGCCTAGTAAACGGGCTAAGATAGATGATTTGTTAGAAACCGGATTGACTAGTCGGCCGCGTCCCCAGAAGGACACGCATACGTTCAACAAGGAAGAGCTTAAGGCCTTCATTTCCAAAATCATGGATATGAAGTACACTGCACCTACTGAGGAAGCCAAAACAAGAATTGTAGAAAAGATCTCTAGTCTGTACCTTAACAACTAATTGCGTTGGTATTGAGTTGGTATCTGGTTTTACAATAACTGGTTCAGCTAGGCTTAAGATATACTAAAGGCAAATTTCAATTTCAACGACCATCTTGTTCTTATCTTATACTGACATATTCTTATCACATAACATAACTTCATTTCACTCTACTTCACTACACTCCACATAACATAACCAAATAGTAAATACATGCTTTATTAACCAATAAATCGGTTTTAGTAGCATCTATCCTTTGCAGCTAAACTGCTCGGCTACTTTAGTTCAATTTAAACACTACCACTACTGTTATGGGAACAGCCCATTTGGCAGTAGTATGATTAAGGTCCACGCTCCATAATAGCCGATCACGAATAAAGCAGTTTTCTGTTCGGTCGGTTGTCTTGAACACAACCGGATGGCCACAAACTTCGTATTACCTCTTCCAATAGGAGGAAGAAGTTTAAGTTGATACGACTCGCCAACTACATTCGCTCTGTAGCAAATGTTCATGGCTAGTAGTAGTATGAAAGCACTGTTCGCCAAATAATTCAGCAACTAAACAGTCATTCGCCTTAGGCTAACTCGTCTTCTGAACTGATAAATATACTTATCGAGGCCGATTAAAACCGACCTGTCTTCCAACTAATTCTCCTCCAGCAATGTAAAGCTTCCACCGTCCTTCCAGGAGTCTAGTTCTCTCTAGATTTGTCAGGTCTAAATACCCTAGTCTCCCAAGTGTACTAAACCAATCCGATCGAATGGCCACTAGCTGATCCCACTAGTAACCGGATAGCACTTGTCGCTATGATTCTTTCGAACTACTTCAGCCACTCTTTTCCAGAGCGATCCTACTCCCGGCCACTTAAGAATGACAAGTCATATCTACACACTAAATCTGTTCGTCCATCTCAGCATAACCACTTTCTAATATTCACTGACTGTCTGCATCTTACAGTCCTGTAACAACCAACTTCCGTATGCTCCTTCAACCGGCTATTATCACCAGTACAAAGGTCCTTCCAGCCCAACTCAGCCCAGGATTTGTTAATTCCACTAATACTACCTTACCCCGAGATAAACCCAAGGCAAATAGACAAACCCAAGTAGTTATCCGATCACTAGCTTTCATATAATACATCCCAAAACAGAGCCAGACTTAAAGCCATCAGCCATTACACACTTCCCTGAAACATCAGGCCCGTCCTCTTTACAGAGCCCAACAGATACATTCCAAAGGCTTACCAAAGAAGCCTCAATACATTTTGTATCTGGCCGGCTTCATCCTAGGCCCTTACGCCTCCGAAGCTCCCAACCCCCTCGCCTCTCCTTAAATACACCACCCAATACATCCCAATCCAGCCAAATAACACGTCACTCCCTAATTAAACCCCCACACATTCCAGCCCCATCTAATTATCCTATCCAATTCAACCCAATCCCAACTTAATCTAAACCAAACTCAATCTAAACACAATCCAAACATAATCTAAACGCAATCTAAACCAAACACAATCTAAACTTAATTTAAATCTAAACACAACATAAACTCAAAAACAACTACTTTCAATTTCATTTAATTCTAAACTAAACTAAACTAACCCAAACTAAACTTAATTCCAATTAGACATTAAAGTAGTTCCTAAAATCAACACAACACAACTCAACTCAACACAACACCAACACAACACAACACCAATCTAATATACACACTCTATTAAAGACATTCTTTGAGACGAACACAAGTTAGTATTTATTTAAGTAAATAAGGGTGAATGAGGATGACGTCATAATGAATTGGTATTGAGTAGTAGTCGTATGACAGCACTATAATTAAGCAAATCAAACCCAACTAAATCCAACACCAAACAACAACTCAATCCAAATACTAACCCCAATCCAAAACCAACACAAACCCAAACCTAACCTAACCCAACACAAACCCAATCTAATCTCAACTTAAATCAACCTAAATCAACACAACCTAAACCAAACACAAACTAAACTTAAACACTATTTACTTACTAGAAAGCCTTCTTTTTATCAGCATTCTTACCCCGAGTAGTCCGTTCAGCATTGATATTAGCATCACAAGCTACTATCTTTACTCGATCGGCCCGAACTAACTCATCATTGATAGTCATAACAAAGTTTTTAACTACAAATGTCCAAACATCGGCAAAGTTCTTATAATTGATAATCGAAGCTTTAAAACTCATCTTATTATGAACATTCCGATTGAATACTAAATAAACTGCATTATCAAACATCTCTAGTAGAGCATTTCCTTGTTGAGGAGTAATTATTTGTGAATTAATCTTCTCTTCGATTGTGTCTTGAAATGCTTTGCCGATATTACTTTCACGATAGAGTTGGTACATCTAACTCTGAAAATAAAATTGCTTTTAAAGCGTATCATGTTGTCTTTCTGGCCGATTGAGTTGAATAATTGGGTTGATTTAACCGATAGTGATAAGGGTGTCTTTAAACGGATAAATAAGGTTGAATGGGGTGGGGTTGGGTTGGAATGTGATGAGTTAGATAGTGGGAAGGGTGGAATGAGTGATAGGAAGACGTACTTTGTTTTGAATGGTCGGCAGTATAATGTAGTGACTGGGGAACATGAAGGTAGACGAGGTTGTGATGAGTGGATGGGGAAGGTGGGAGAAGATGGGATGGATGTGTTTGGGCGTAAGGAGTCGGCGGTGGGACGGACGGAAGTATTGTTTGAAGGACGGCGGACTGTAGTGCGAGTATGGATTAAAGGCCTGGGGGTGAGTAGGGGTTTGCAGAGTTGGTTGCCGGGTGATTCGGTTTTGGTGAAGGTGTCTAATAGTAAGGATCGGGTGCAGGGATTATTGGCATACTTGGGATGGAAGGGAGAGAAATGGATTGAGTACCGGAAAGTGCACATACGTACGGGTCGAGTAGTGATGAGTTATAGTGGACGACTTGATGATTGTTTGCGGCACTGTTTGGACTTGACTTCATTGCCATCTAAGTACATGCTTTATAGATTGGGACAGTTGGCGGGGCCGGAGTCTCGGGCTAAGTTAGAGTACTTGGCCTCACGGGCTGGAAGTAAGGATTATTTTGGCCTGGGTAAGAATTGGAATGATCTTTATGATCTGGTGGTCGGATTGGAAGTGAAACTAGATTTGGAAACTTTATTGGAATTAAGTGAAGAGATTCGACCGCGGGCCTTTTCAGTACTGAGTTTGAATGCAGCTGAGGATGAAGTTGAGTTCTTGTGCGGAGTAGTGGAGAAGGAGGCGTATGGTGAGAAGCGGTACGGACATGCTTCCTTATTCGTGCTGAATATGATAGCTGGTGCAGCTGCTGGTCGGACAGACCTGAATTATGGGGCGGGACTTATTATGAACACTATCCATAAGCCCAATAGGCTCATGCAAATACAAGCCGGAAATGCATTGCTGATTGGAATTGGAACGGGTGTAGCCCCTTTTATCTCGTTTATGGCCCGGAAAGAGGAAAGGGAGTTTGTGCTGGTTTATGGATGTCGGTCAAGGAAGGAGAGTATTCTGCATAGTTTGGGTATAGTGAGTGGAGATGGAGAAGAGTCTAGTTTAGTTGGGGCTCGTGAGTTCTTTTCGAGTAAGTACCAGACACGTATCTTGATTGTTTATTCACAAGAGAACAGTTGTCTTAGATTGGACCAGTTTTTGATTAACAACACAGAAAGAATCAATGATTTAATTAGTAATTTATGCCCGGATACTAAATTGGGTTATATCTGCGGCAACAAAGGGGCACGCAAAGCAATCTGCACGTACATCACCCAAACACATCCCAAAATGAGACTCTATGTTGACGATTGGGTTTAGTAGTGGGTTGGTAGTGGAGTGGTAGTGGATTAGTAGTGGAGTGGTAGTATTAAGCTGGTCTTATTGCTAGTGCTTATGTAGTGAGCTACTATCAAAATTAGATACGTGTCTAGGAATAGTGACAGCTATACAGTACTGCCGCACACTATTACGTGCCATAACCATTACTATGGACTAGCCCAATTCGGACAGACTACTTAGAAAGCCACTAGGAGAATAAACCGCAGTGGAACCAACTATAATGGACAGACCAGTATTCTTGGCAATCTCGCGGATTTCAGAGATTTCGGCAATACACACCCCGCCAATAAAGAAGATAATGATCGGGCGTTTTTCAGTAGATGTAGTATGGGCTGGGGCCCGGAAGACAAATTCACGTTTACGCAAGGAATGGCCCGATAAATTCTCTCTAGTTTCAGGTAAAGAGATATCAAAATGAGTACATGCCTTTTTGTTCTTACTGATGATAGCTGTTAGCACGTCATGAATAATGGGGGTGTACCGAGCAATTGGAATGGGCCGTTTAGTAAGTGGAATAGCTGCTCGACCTTTTAAATGCTTTTTGGCCTTCTCCCAGCACTCGACTTCTTTCTTGCTAATATGGCCTTGAGTTAATAAAGTCTTCTCCTCATTGCGCTGTAATGAGCCCATGTTAGCCAGAAGTAGGAAGTACAGCCGCGTCTTCTCTTCTTTAGTCAGCCGAGCCGTCTCTAAGACCCGGAAGAACTCTTTTGTTGCTACTTTCTTGTATGTACTACCAGCGGCATCCTTACCGGTAGCAATGCCCTGTTCTACTTCAGCGACTTGTTTGATCTCATGAGTATTGAAGTAGTTCACACAACGTTCAAGTAGACCCATTAGAGCCTTAATTTCTTTCAACGTCTTAGTCTGGGAGGGCAGTTCCTGAATGGCTTTAACCAACCGCTTGATATTTGTTTTGCTCTCCTTCTCATTGGACTTAGTTGCATCCTTGATTAGATCGGATAAAATTTCATGAGTCTTCACCAATTGCGTATTCCGAACACTTTCCCAAACCGTATGGCTCTCACTCATTTCAATCCTTGCCTCCTCATCACTTTCGCCCTCACCATCCCCACCACCCTCACTCTCTCCTTTCTTCCGACCATTAAGATCCACTACATACCCAGGACCGCCCAAACCCAAATCCCACAAGAGACTCTCAAAAGTAAACCAGTGCAACAAAGGCGTATTCAAATCAATACCTCGTTCTATCACAACTAACTTCCCTGGACCGGTCGTATCAATCCGTTCAACCACTTTCTTAGTAACTTTCCCAACTCCCACCGGCGTACATTGGGCCTTCACTGTCCGACACAATCCCTGCAACTTATCAGCCACTTCCAAGGCATACCTCTCCTTATCAAGATAAAAGTTACTTCCTACTGTCAACTGAAACACATCACTACACAGCGGTAAGAAATCAAAATTAACCGCCTTACAAGTAAAGTGCAAAGACTCGCCCTTACTCTGTCTTTTCTCCACCTTCTTAGCCACCTCGTCCAAAACCTGCTGGGCCTTCTTCTCAATTGGCCCCATACTCACCACATACACACTACTGTACATCTTCTTCCCAAAGTCTTTTTGAATAGTCTTGGCCGCACCCACACTCATCTTAACAAAGTAAACCACCGAAAAGTCCGCCGCAGCCTGTCGCTCTTCCTCAATCCGCTCAATCATCGCAATGTTCTGCGAAAGCACTTCACTCATCGGCAAAGCATAATGAAGTAAATGTGCCGTATCATGATCAATCACTAAAACCCGCCACTCCTTATGCGCAGCACCCAAGCGCAGAACATGTTTCTTAATCCGGTCTCCCACAATGTCAACCAAATTCATCCCAAATAAAACCCACAACCTGCTAAAAACCAATCTTAACTATCAAAACCAAGATAATCAGTCCCAGACAGTCGCGATCAGACCACGAAACTCTACGCTAAGCCTAAATACACCGTCAGAACCCCCAATCTCCCCCTAATTCCATCTAATTCTAACCCAATGGTATAAATTTAGTTTTGTTTTTGTTGTGTAATGGAGTCGATTTCACTAGTTCCAGCTATTGAGAATCTTCTGCAGCATCCCGATAAGGAAAAGAAAGCAGAAGGCTTAGATTTGATTTCACAAAACATTGGCCTAGTTGGAGGGTTCTTATCCGATGTAATTCCGCATCTAAAGCCTGAAGATCACCCAGAAAAAGCCGAATATGTTCATTTATTGCTGTCCATGGTTTGTTTCTACACCCAGCGCTACAATGAGTCCGTCAACCATGCAATCTTAGCTAAAGATGTCTGGCATAGTGCAGCTAAGGATCACGATAAGTCTGTAAGCCTATACTTTGAAGAATCACGCCATCGTTTGATTAGGAGGTACATTGAAACAGCTAAGGAAGAAAGGAACGAAGAACTTTCTCAGTTTATACAGGAATTAGCTGCCCAGGAAAGTCCTAATAGTTACTCTTTACTAGGTCTCTTCCTAGTAACTAAGGACTTGGCGGCGATTGAAAGGTTTCTGCGTAGTGGAGCACACGTTCTGGAAGAGTCTTTGGCTCCTGAGTTCATTATTGAAGGGGCTAAGCGCGAACGGTTCTATCGGCAATTACTGAGTGTTCTAGCTAGTATTTGGGAGGAGAGTCCTAAGGAAACCTATTCTTTGGTCTTTTTTAAGGCTTTAGCTGATGCCTACTTAGTCAATCGTAGTGAAGATAAGTTAGTCGCTTTGATTAACTATCTGGCGGAACGGCGTAAGGAAGCGGCTTTGTTTGTGGCTTTCTTAGTGCATGATAAATCGCCTGTCTTATCACAACGTATTGCTGGACAGGCGAAAGATGCCCAAGCCCATGCTCTACTTACGGGTAAGTTCCAATCAGAAGTCTACCAGCGATTCTTAACCGATAAGAACAACATTAGTTTTAGTTTACTTTCCGATCTATCAAAATCACAAAGTTCTAAACTATCAATGAATCATATGTCATTGAGTTTCTGCAATGGGTTTATGAGTGGGAAAACGTGCAATGATACTTACTTGCGTAAGAATTTAGAGTGGATGAAACAGGCTAAGAACTGGTCTAAATTTGTAGTGGCATCGTCCTTTGGTATGATTCATACGGATAGTGAGGATCCATTTGAAGTACTCAGACACTACTTGCCAATGGCTTCAATTGTTGATACGGAGAAGGACGATCCAGAAAGTGGCGGGGCTTTGTTTGCTTTGGGTTTGATTGCAGTGAACTCACCAACTATTGCTGATAGTTTCTTAGGGTCTTTCTTTGATGCCGAGTCGAAAAGCAGCCGGAGTAATGTCTTGTATGGAGCCTGTCTGGGTTTGGGTCTAACCCGACTGGGCACAGCTGATACTGAGACAATCAACAAATTCAAAAACATTCTTTATTCCGATAATGTCACTGTTTCTGAAGCCGCTGCTTATGCCATTGGTCTAACTACAGCTGGTAATTTTGATCTGGATTTAGCCCGGGAAGTTTTGACTTATGCCCGGGATACTGAGCACGAGAAGATTTCACGAGCAGTTGGAGTGGGCGTAGCCCTAAAGTGCATTGGGATAGCTTCTTCTGAACCTCCCCAGGCCTTTTCCCAACTACTGGATGAACTGCTTGGTGATATCAATCCAATCATTAGATACTCAGGTGTACTTTCCTTTGGAGCGGCGTACGTAGGTACTGGTGATTTAAGTGCAGTTAGGAAACTCTTATCGGTGATTAGTACAGACTCTTCTGAGGATGTCAAGCGAATTGCTGTCTTTGCCATTGGTCTGATCTTATCTGATCAGTCGGGCTCTGGGTGCTTGCTAGAAGAGGATAAGACCAGTGAACTATGCTCAGTGCTGGAGCCTTTGGCCCAAAGTCATTCGGCTTATGTACGGGCGGGTGTAGCTTTAACTCTAGGTATGTTCCAAGTCGGTTCTGGGTGCAAGAAGTCCTTAGCTTTGATTGAAACGCTTATGTACGATACGACGACTTATGTCCGGCAACATGCTAGTATTGGGGCCGGCTTCTTACTTATGCAGCTGAACATTCGTGATGACCCAGTCTTTAAGCGCGTGATTGAGCACATGCACAGTATGACCAGACGGAAGAGTGAAAGTGGAGCAGCTCGGTTTGGAGCTTTACTAGGCCGAGCTATTCTTGATGCCTGTGGACGCAATGGAACCATTAGTATCTATGGGATGTCAAGAGATATTTCAGTTAAAAGTGTATGTGGGGCCATTCTTTTCTCGCAGTACTGGTACTGGTACCCGGTTGTACCTTTTATTACGTTGTGTATGCGGCCGACTTTACTGCTGGCGGCAGATACGAATCTTAATATCTTGGAGGACTTCCAGGTTGAGGTGGAAGGACCCAGTACGCCTTTCAAGATGGAGTCTGTTCTGCCTAATGAGCATGCCAAGTCGCACAAGAAGTTCAAGATTATTCCTCTGGCGGGTGAAAAGCCACAGGAAGAGGTTAAGGAGGAGGAGAAAGAAGTAGTGGTGGAGGTAGAGGAAAAGTCGCATGTGGTTAAGAACAACGAGCGGTTTACTACTTTACAGCAGAAACGGTCCGGTTTAGCCGATCAGCCTTCTATTCTTTTCTTCCCAGCGGCATCGCAATCTAATCCGGCTAACAATCAATAAAATGTGCTAGTGAGCTTACAGTTGCTATACGTTATGTTACTATGCGTTAGATTATTATACGTTAGATTATTATGTTATTATAAGTTGTTATACGTTAGACTATTATGTTATCATGTTGTTATACGTTAGATTATTATGTTATTATAAGTTGTTATACGTTAGATTATTATGCTATTATAAGTTGTTATACGTTAGATTATTATGTTATTATAAGTTGTTATACGTTAGATTATTATGTTATTATACGTTAGATTGTTATGGTATTATAAGTTATTATGGTATTATAAGTTATTATGTTATTATAAGTTGTTATAAGTTGAAAGTTAAGCTAGTATTGGGTTAGTGCTGGACTGTTTATTGTTCCTTGAGACTGTTCAGAACGAATTTCAGATCTATCTTATGAATTCGATAATAAGTAAAAGGAGTCATAAACTCATCGAAGGGCATCCATACTTGTTCGCGATCGGCGTCGTAGCAAAAGACACCCCAGGGCTGGATAAGAATGCGCATGTAGTCCTGAGTGAAGAAAACTCCTAGTCGGTTGGGGGATTGCTGAAACCTAACCGGATACTGTGGGGGCCTTCTCTCCGCCGATAATAAGTCGTCATCATCAGAGTCCTCATTCTCATCAGAATCCTCGCTATCATCGGGGTCTTGGGTTTGGTTGGTGGGAAGTGCAAGGTAGGAGAGAGTATAGACTGGTGGGTAGCCGGGGTTGTCGTCGGAATCATCAAGAGCTGTGGTCGGATTCGAGCCGACTGGGGAGTTGTTCTTATTGTCATTGTCATTGTCGTTGTCATTGCCGTTCTTATGCTTGTGTTTAGTAGTGGATAATGGGGTCGCGTCGGAGTCATCGGAGGTGGTTGGGGGCTCAGTCTGAATATCATCGGAACATTCATCGGCTATTAACTCTCCTGAAACGCCTAGATCCAGTACACCGTCGATATAAGGCGTATATTCTGCTGGCCTCGCTGAGAATGTGTGGTTTGGTTGTGGTGGTGGTCGATCAGCTAAGAATGCGGCCTGGAGCTCATTAAGCTTACTCAAGGTATTAGGATCAAGTGGGTCGGAATTGCCGCTGGATTCAGATTCAGACTTAGTTTCACATGCTAATTCACTCGAGTTATTATTGCCGGATTTAGATTCGAATTCAGATTCAGATTCGGATTTGTCATTGATTTCGCATTCTAGTTTATCCATGTTATTGGGGTCGTATTCGGATAATCCTAGTTCGGCCTTCATAAAAGAAGCCAAGAGTTGATAATAGTTGTTTAGGGGTGGTGAGATCAGTAATGGGTCATCCGGTTCCGGAGTTAGTGCAGGAGTAGTGGTTGGTGATACAGAGTTAGTGAGAGGCTGAGTGGACTGCACGTCTCCATCAATGGCCGCTAAACTAGGATCAGCGCCGGGGCTGTTCTCATCAACCTTCGTATTCAAAGGCGGGGGGAGGTTTGGAGTACTAGATAAACTAAAGATGTGGTCCTGCCCATTGCTGGCCAGATACAGAACGTCTACTTGGCAAATAGGACTTTGTTGGATACCTTGAGTGCTGGCTGGCTGTGTGATAGGAATGGCCATTTCCTTTTCCAGTAGGAGAACAAGAGCGTCTTCCACAAACCTTTTCTGCTGGTTTATTACCTCTATATTGTATTCTAGTCGTGGAATGCCTCGGCTAAGTAACGCGTTAATAGCAGCTAAATCAAAAACTGAGACTTGGGTTAGTGTGGGAAATTCTTGATACTTGCCAAACTGGGCAGCCGTTGCGGTAGTAATGAGTGAAATAAGCTCTTGATAGACATCATGTAAGACACTGTGCGCTTGTGTTTGGTGTAGGATATTGATGGCCTCGAGATATTCAGGTGGGTTCTTTTCCTCGCGATACTTGTTGAATTTCTTGCTCAACAGAATCTCAATTGCCCAACGGTAATCATCTAGCTGTTCAAGCTTCGTGTTGATTTCTTGCAGAGTCTCTCTATCAAACCCACACAATTCCTGATAATTCTTGTAAAAGGTATAGATGTTTCTTATTATACCGCTTAAGATCAAGTAGCAGTCCTGGTTCTCAAGAATTAACTCCCTAAGCCGATCGCAAAGGTAAAGAATGTCAATCGGCTGCTGGCAATACGGGCTCATGTCTTCAGAAACTATTTGACTAACATCATTCCAATTCATGACATTCCCTTTCGAATCTATTGATTCTAATAGTCCCGAATTGTGTAGCCAATGTGACGTTATCTGTTTTAAAAATCGCACTCTACTTACCACCCAGATCTTATTTACACCGCGATACTGGCCTAAACACATCTCAATTCTAAACAGCTCATAAACCAGAAGCTCTCCTTGTGTGTAGCTCTCTTGCTGATCTAAAGTTTCTGACCCACTTAGCCATCTCTTATACTTATCTCGCCATTCTTTTAGCACTTGACTGAAACAGTCCAAGACCTCCAGGTGACTTTGAAGGCTTATCCATATTCGCGCTAACTTTGCAGCGCCAATATTGTCAATAAGCACTATTTTCTTTATCTGGCTGTTCTTTTGCTTATCAGCAACCTTCTGCTTGTTTTCGCTTTGGCTGCTTTTCGTTTGATTATTCACGTCATTAGGATTATCTTTCTGATTTCTCTTGTCATTAGTACTAGCAGCTTTCTCACCCACATCCTTATCCCCTTCCTCTTTTTCTAGTAAACCCAGCAATACACCTCGACACCACACTAGCCATTCGAGGTCATCTGCCAGTAATAATCCAATAAATCCATCTTCTAACCCGTTAATCTTCTTTTCCAGCCAATCTAAGTCTTGCGCTAGATCTTTCTTCAAACACTCCTGCACTTCTTTCCTTGCCGCCCAAACAACTTCTACTGACCACTCCTGTTCAGTGGTATCATCCTGTTCATTTAAATGCTGCGGCACTACAGCCACTTCTCCCTCAGACCCCTGAACACATATCCCTTGTTCCATAAGCCATCCTAGCACACACCAGAAGTACAGCCATCGAGTAGTTCCAAAACCATACATTCTCTATCTACTTTTTAATTTTGGCCCAGATATCATTACCAAAATATTGTTTAATCAAACCTCACCCATCCCCACACTTAAATTAAACTCAACAAAAACATACCCAACCCAAGACCAGCATAAAAACCTACCCTAAACCCAAGATAAGCAAACAAAACACTCCACAATTCTTATCTCTATGTGTAAATGTTTTTTTTGCTCCCATGACGTCATGCTCCTCTGAGATAGTTGTTCGCTTTTCTAACGTACTTCAAAATGAACAAGAATCCCTAAAATTGCGATTTAGAGCCCTTTTTGCCCTTCGTAATATTGGGTGTGATCTGTCCGTTACTGAAATAGCCAAGGCATTCACTACTACTTCGATTCTTCTTAAACATGAACTAGCTTATGTCTTAGGCCAGATGCAAAACCCCACCGCTCTGCCCATTTTAGCCGACGTCCTTAAGAATCAAGACGAGAACGAAATAGTTCGGCATGAAGCAGCTGAGGCCATTGCCACTTTTGGCGATCTCAACTACGAGCCACTCCTTCGACACTATGCTTCAATCGAAAATGCACAAAGTCGAGCTGTTGCTGAAACATGTCAAATTGGTGCCGATCTTATTATTAAAGGTGGGGCTAAAGAGTCTCTTTATGGGTCCTTTGATCCGGCCCTTCCTTTGGCTGAAGAGAGTATTCCTCGTTTGGCCGAGATCTATCTTGATACTAGCCTGCCACTTTATGAAAGATACGCGGCCATGTTCAAACTACGAGATATCGGCACGGAAGAAACTGTAGAAATTCTAGCACAGGGGTTTGATTCAGAGAACCGGTCTGACTTGTTTGAGCATGAAATTGCATTTGTCTTTGGTCAGATGTCTCATCCGGCTTCAGCTAAGCATCTTGCTCGGGTTCTAGCTGATGAAAGCCGGCATGAAATGGTACGCCATGAATGTGCTGAAGCTTTAGGATCTATTGATACCCCAGAAGCTACTAAGGCGCTTTTGCTTTTCAAGGATGTTCCCAATCGCATCATCCGAGAGAGTGTTGAGATTGGCCTTGATATTCAGGACTACAAATTCTCTGATCCCACCCTAGAGTATACCATTAACAATTTAGCCCCTCAGTAAGTGGGTTGTTAGGCCCTAAAACATTCTACCTCAATATTAGTATGTTATTAGATTGCAATAAGAACAATAAAGATGGTATTTCAAATTAACAATGAGATGGTAGTTGTGCTGTTCTTAAGAGGGTGTTTTATTGGGGTTGTATTCATGGCATTTTAAGAGTAGCTTATTATTAGGATTTGGGCTAGATCTAGTTTGGCTGTGGATACTTTTGATCTTTACAGTTAGGTGGTTTTCTGTAGTGTCTATTTAGTATGAGTACTTAAATGATGTGAATTGGGTGGGAGTCGTCATAATTTGGTGTTTTTGTGAGGTCAGAGTATAGATCATCTAGGTTTCTATAGGCAATGTAGAAGTAGATGTGGTCATCTTTAAATGCCATGTCTTTAAGCCCTTTGTGGCTCTCTGTGGCGGAGGTGTGACTTCCTTTAGCCGCGACAAAGCTAGACAAAGGAACACTTATCAGTCGATGTATACTATCATCAAACACATCTGCCCGTTTGCATAGTGTGCATCGAGTTAATTTGCTATCGTAGGCCTGTGCAGCAGCTACACACCTACTACAGATCATATGTGTGCACTTGAGATAGCAAAATGTTATGGGGTAGTGCTCACTGTTAAATTCAAGTTGCTTATTCTCGAGGGTGTCCCCTTCCTTTGGATTCTTATCATTTGAATCCACACAAATACCTTCATGGCAAACCGGGCATATAATATCACTTGGAGTTTTCTGGTTGGCAGTGATATCATTTATGATCATTTTGAAAGATGCCTTGGTGAGAGCTTGTTCAGGCAAGAGTGTCTTAATTTGGTCAATGCAAGTTAAAAGACGGAATACTGTTTTAGAAGCTATTGCTGTAAATTCAGGGGTAGTATTAGAGACTGTCAGCAGCCAACTCTTATGATAGAGATGGATTGGTAGTTTGATCGGTGCGATGTTTGCGGTTGCGCTCTCTATTTGAATAAGCTCAAGAGAATCTAAATCCCAAACCCAATAGTTGCGCGAGGTCATTGCATTCTGTTCAGTTTCTGACACACTAACGTTTACTAGTCGCAAGATGATTAATGCTTTGAATCGGCAGGCCGTCCAGCGGACACTATCCACTAAAGCTGTCTCGGTTAATGACTCTTTGCCGCTGAACATTAATACTAGCTCCTCAACTGTTAGGTTTGGGCCCAGATGGCTTTGGCTTGGTTGTTTTGCTTGGCAGCCGACCCAATCTGATTGTAAGGCCTGTAGAGTGATGCCATAAAGAGTAAGCTTTCTGCCAAGTATCATGGATCGCGTGGGTTTGGCGTTAGTTGGTGTCTTGGTAATGTAGTCCTTAAATAGCATAGCTGAGGGCTGAATACCAAAGTCCCAAAGCGCAGATATGGCTTTGGTGGGTATATCAAAATCGGCATTGTCCAATGATAAAAAGAGCTTGTCTAGATTAAGGCTTTGCATTTCTCTGCCTTCTGCTTTGGCTATATCGATGTATTTGAATAGTGATAAGTTTTTGATTTGGTCTGGTTGTTGGTAGTGCACAACCTCTTCTAGCCCAGTGAAGTCATTGAGCACGAGTTTTGAAATGTTACGGCCTATTGGGTGCGAAAGAAGCTGCGCAATATCAAGGTTTGTGAATCCATGGTTCAGAATATAGACTTCGGTTGTGTTGCACAGGTCATAATGCCCGAATATCCAGTAGAGAATATCATCATCAACGTTCTCTAATACCACAACATCCATGTTGAGCTTGTATCTAGGGGAGTTGGCGGTTTCGGCCTGTAGAGTGCTCAAGCTAAACTTGCTAGTTGTTTGGTTGCCATCACGAACATTCGATATGTGCATCTTTTGTCCAGTGATGTTCTGAAATAGACATAGAAAATTAGCGCAATTGATGGCCTGTCCTTCACGTGGAGTTGGATTGCCAATGATGTTGAGCAACGTGTAGTATATATTCTGGCAGAAGTACAAGCGATGGTTTTGTATGTAATTATCAGCCCATTCTGTTAATAGCTCATAGTCGAGCTGGATGTCAACTTTCTTTCGCGGGCTCCAGTTAGGTTCGCTGAGCTTATCACCACAGCACATAATGCCTTCTTCCTTCACCTCGGCTACTACTTCCTTCGATAAAGCATTCACCGCGAAAAACATATCGATGGTGTCCTTCAGATCAGTTCGTTGGCCCTCATATTGGACCTGCGTTTCATCAACCGAGATGCCATACTTAGAGTAAGCTTCCTTGCTATAGAGATATCTGTAGTAGCCATAACCGTCGCATGGCATATATTCAGAGATTTTGGACGTGACTGTTTTAGCAAAGATATGAGGCTGGATTTGCGTTTGTTCTTGGAAATGGTCAATCATTGTTTGGATAGCGCATTCGTTTGTATACCACAGTATAATAGCATGAACATTGATTTTGGGCTTATTGGGTTTGCACAAGTGCTGAAAGGTTTCCCAATTTGTCTCTAGAGCCAGCATTGGATGTTTGTCAACCGCATTCTTAAGCCCTGTTAGCGTTAGTTCCTTGCTATTAGATTCTTCAATAACAATCTTGGCACATTGTGGCGGAGATGTTTGGAGAACGCTAAGATTAATTTCAGCTACTTTGGGTAGATCTAAAAACAAGATAGTGTAGTCGTTTGCTAGAGGCAACTTACTAAGGAGATGGGCGGACTTAAATTCTTCATCCATCAAGCAAACACTTGAAAATCGCCGGTGCAAAACAATACCACTATCTAACAAGTGTGCAAGATTGTTACTTCTTTGGCTTGAAAAGTTAAGCTGACATTCCAAGGTATAATTAGCATGTTCAAGCGTGTTTGTGGCCTCGTCTAAACAAACGCGTAAACACACATCTTTTGTCTCTTTGTCAATGTTCGAGAAGGTTATTCCTTTCTTCCACAAAACCTCCATTTCTTTACAATCAACTATATGAATAACTCGAGTTAGAATCTGAAGGCTCTCTTGATAGACGTCCCCTTTTGGCCATAATACCTCAATAACAACTCTCGGGCACTTAATAATAGCAATCGTTCTTAGCGCAGCTAAAACTGTCTTAAGAAAACTCTCATCGTTCAGTTTAGGTGATGTAAACACAATGTACTTGTCTGTGGTCTCTATCATATAATAGGGCGTATTGTCTAATGGGTTGAATGGGCCTAGGCTTGGATTTAGTGCTGGGCCATTCTTAGATGTGAGTTTCTTTTGCAAGTTTGGAACATAAGCCGTAACCTGCAATTTAACGGTCGAACTACCAAATGCAAAGCCAATCATTCTCAAGGTTCTAGTCATCTCATTTTGACTTTGCTGTGATACTTCAGTTGTTCTACTCATATCATCTACTCCACTAACACTACTCAACCAGACCAACACATGACATAGTACCAAGCCAATCCAAGATCTGGTCGTTTTAATGTGCCACGGTTTGGTTAATCTAACGGTTATCACACTGCTCTCGTTCATAACCCAAACAATCAAGATGTTCTAAATAGGTCGCGATGGCCAATCAGTACACCTAACCAGCCGTTACTTAAAAACCAACCGGCTTCAACTAGTACAAACCCAATCAATCGCAATACTAACCCAATCAATCGCAATACTAACCCAACTTTACACACATATCATCTACTACCCTTTTATATAATAACATCATCGTATCAGAGTAGGCCACACATATATTCGCAGTCAATAATATGGAAGAAGCAGCAGCCCCAATATGTTATAATTGTTTACTAATCTAATGCAATACCAACCTAATCTAGCACAATTTATTCGTAGCTAACTCAAATGACATGAATTGGATTAGATTTGTCATAGGATGGCACTCTTTTGTGCATAGTGGCAATATCAGTTGGTTGTCTATCTGCGACATACAAATAAACGTGACCATCAACCCAGGCCTGGCTATCTAGCCATTTGTTGTCAGCCTCAGATACTTTGGCGCCTGAATTGAAGAAGCCAAAGCCATTTCGAGGAACACGGATAAGACGGTAGATATTATTCTTGAATACTAATGGCTTTCGACACATATGGCATATCGGGGAGGTTTTCTCCAAAAGCTTGACCACGCATCTATTACAACAACGATGCCTGCACGAGAAGTAGCAAAGTGTTGTCACGGAGTTGTTAGCTTGCAATGGATTTCTCCATAACCATCCTTGATTTGGCTCGTCGTAGGTGTAGCAAATCTTGCACATATTAGCATCTTCCTCCTCTTCCTCCTCTTCCTCCTCTTCCTCATCTTCCTCATCTTCCTCATCTTCCTCATCGTGCTTTTTGTTTCCATTGCTTTCATTGTTTGCCGTAAGCTCGCGTTCAATATGGTGGAAGGTTGCCTCAGGATTGATGTGCTTGTTAGTAAGCTCACTAAGATCGCCTACATTCTTAGCAAGCCACTCTAACACGGTAGATAATGTCACAATGGCAATGGATTCTGGACATGGAACTTCTGACATGAGAACATGACGATATGGCCGGCTTAGCAGTTCAATAAATGAGTTGTTTAAATTTGGATCGAGCAGTTGAATGTTGTTGAGTGCTGGCAGCCCGCGGAATAGGTAGTTGCGCGAAGCTATTATCCTCCGTTCTTTCTTTGATGCCTTAGCATTTATCAGTTGCAATTTGATCACGTTTTCAAATCGACAGGCCACCCAGTTGATAATATCCACTAAGGTGAATTCGGTTAGTTTGTGCCGCTTGTGGAAGTTTAGGGACAACTCCGTGATATGCGGGTTTTTGACCGGGGTTTCTGCTTCGGATGGATTTTGACTTTGGACCTGAGCTTGACACTTAGCTATATCTGCTTTTAAGGCCTCAATCGTGATGCCATAAAGCACTAGTACATTCGTATCCTGTATTGCTGACATATTGGCGAAATAGTTATCGAGAGTGCTATTCGTTAGCAGCTCAATGCCGTAGGATCGAATTGTAGATAGGGCTGGGTCGGATTCATCAACACCAATGCCGTCCGTGTACAAGACCAACATATTTAGATGAAGGTCGTCCACTGATTGGTTGCACTGCAGGAAATCTTCCACGTATTTGAACAACGAAAAGCCTTTGATTTGATCTCGCCGGTTATAACGCACAATCTCATTTAGGTTAGCCAGATCATTGAGCACAAGCTTTGTGTCTATCGGGCCTAGTGAGAAGGAAAGAAGCTGAACGATAGCCAGATTCTTAAATGCCTGGTTCAAAATATGCAGTTCATTTAGCTTGACAATATTATAACGTCCAAACATCCTATAAATAATGGCCTCATCAACATTGTCTAATATCAAAGTATCGAGATCAAGGGTGTATCGGGGGAATTGGGTCGTTTCTTCCTTCAGAGTGACTAAATCAAACTTGCTCGTGGTTTTTCTCTTATCACGAATATTCGAAATGCATAGCTTTTGGCCTCTGATGGATTCCAATAGATCAAGAAGCTGCATACACTGCTTAACCTGGTCTGGGTTTGGTTTCTTATCGCCAATGATGTTAAGTGTTTTGTAGGTTAAGTTCTGACAGAATCGCCCAGCTATACGATGTTCCTCGCGACTCTCAAGTCGAAGTTTTAAGAGCTTGTTGTCCATTTTAATGTCAACTGTCTCTGGAAGTGACCAATTGGGTTGATTGAGACGGTCACCACAACACACAATATTTTGATCATCAGCTTCTGTTGCCACCCGACTTGGTATTGCTCCGATAATAGAGAATTGAGATATGGTCCTTATAAAGTCTTTTCGCTTGGGGCTATAAGAGACCTTAATTGCACCAATTTTGATTCCGTGTTTAAGCATGTTGCCGGTTGTGTAAATCGCCGCATTATTGGCAGCGAGATTACATGGCGTATCGGGGCCAAACTCGAAACGAATGTTGTACGCAAAAACTCGAAGGTCATATTGCTTCTCTTGTTGATAGAATTCAAGTAACTCTTGGTGGGTATTTGAAACAGAATCGGGAACCCAAATAGTGTGAACGATAATTGGATTAGCATTGTTTTTGACCAAATACTGAAGGGTTCGCCAGGGCATATTTAGAGTTAGGTGGGGGTGTCGAACAACAGAATTGTCAAGTCCAGCAAGTGTTAATTCTAGGCGCCATTTGTCTCGGAATTCAATTGCTTGACATCTGTGAAAAGAGTCATGGAGAATTGAGAAGTCAATGGAAACTATTTGGGGTAGACGCTCAAAAGCAAGAGTGTAGCCGTCTAATAGTCTAAGTTGGCTAAGATAAGACATGTTTTTGAATTCCAGACCTTCTAGAACTACCGCCGCAGCTGGTCGCAGCAAGATAAACTCGCTGTTTATCAGATCTGGAAGCCCACTAGAGATCGCGGTTAAAAAAGTAATCTGGAGCGCCGATTCGTAGTCAGCATGTTCGACAGTATTCCGTGCTTCGTCGTTATAGCTAAGTAGGTCCGTTCTATTGGCATTTTCGTTCCGTTTTATATTCCGACCAGGGAAAATCCTCAACTTTTCACAATCAATCATATTGATAACTCGCGTTAGAATTTTCATATTGATCTCGTGATGGTTTGGGTTAGACACTCTAAACTCCACATCGGCAGAGTCTGCTTGAATTTTGGCGATCTTTCTTAGCATAGTCAAAGCCTTTGAGGCCTCTATGTCATCAGAATAGTAAGGCAAGTTAAATGTGATGTGGATATCTGGTGGATACTCTACCACATACTCAGGCGTGTTTGAAAGTACATTTGAATTCAGGGTAGGCTTACTGGTGTTAGGAGGAATATAGGGTTTAGTTCGGAGCTCTTCCGGATGCAGGTGAGTTGTAAAGCCAATCAACTTCAAGTTTTGGGCCACCTCAGCAAGAAGTGGCGGCACCCATTGAAGTATTAGATCCATTTCATACGTATTGCTGGTATTATGCCATGGTTGACTCATTGGCATGTCAACACTATCAACACCAGCCAGTAAAATCAGAAAAACGCCCAGACCAACTACCCAAGATCTAACCGCTCTAGCGCTACAAATCTTAATCCATCTAAGGGCAATCACTTTTGAGCCGAACATAATTAGAAAAATTACTAAAATTCGAGTAATATAATGTCCCAAAAAGGAAATATCAGCAAATTTTATCAAACCATGTGGAGGGCCAAAAATATTCCCCCGGTAAATCTCCAAAAAACGAAATTAAAGCCCGAGATTGCGGATTCCGAGGCTGGCGAGGCAGAATACAATAAAGATGCTTTATTTGAAAATCTAACAACTACTAGTTTAAAACATACACGGACAAACTATACTAACTCGAGTTCGCACTAGTTTGCGAATGTTTTGAAAGTGGCTATCAACCCAAAAGAGAGATAGATACTTTCAGGTCTTTCGCTCTCTTCCTTTCTTATCTGAAAGTGCTTTAAAGTAACAAAATCTCCTTTTATTGTCCAATTCTTATCTCTTATCATATTCTATGATATAAACAGATTTAGTATAATCGTTAACAAGAGGCCTTGATTTGCACTACCTAATACCAACCCACTGCTTAGCAATATGTTGTTCGGATCGATGTTTAGCAGTAATTCATCTTGATCTATGCCTAACAATAATCAATACTAACCACACGTACACCTCTTTACTCAAGTGTATGTGCCAGC